ATTTCCTTGCCGAATGAAAAACGTTACCTGTTTACCTGGCCTGCTTTCTAATACGTATTACGCAATACCCATGGTATACTCGAACAAAACAACATTTTCATTAGATCAAAAAGGTGTAAAAGAACAATTTTGTTCCCAAGATCCAGATCGAAATATTTACCGTTTTTGAGTTATAAAGCAAAAACTTTTAAGGGCCCAAGATCCCTAATCATAGGGGCCAGCCCCTTTTAAATAGTATAATATGAAAGCCCTTGCAATTATGCGCAACTTTTGTTCTACATGTCTAAACAAAATATTTCTAGTTTTCAAGATATAAAGGAAAATATGTCAAATTTTTTGCTGTTTTCCGCGTTCTAACTTTTGACCCCTCTCTAGCGCCATTTTTAATGCAAAAATCAAAAAACAAAAACCGATGTGCACAACTTCAATGCTTCCTCTTTTCAATTTCAAAGGGTTTTGTGCTCCAATTATAACCATTTCTGAGCCTTTGTCTGGAAATGGGAGGCATGCAAAATTCAATCAAAGGGGAATAACTCGTGAACAGAAGGTAATTTCCGAATTGTATTACGGTATTCTGACAGTGTTTTGTAAAGTCTAAAAGCTCTGAAAATTTGAACAAAATCTGTTTAAAAATGAGGAAGATATGAAGCGTCAAAGTTGGCGTCTAGGAAAAAAAAAAAAAAGAATAATCTTAATCATCACAATCAGTAGAAGGTCTTCCGTTGGAAACGGAAGACCTTAATAATCTTAACCATCAGAATCAGTAGAAGGTCTTCCGCCTGGAGCGGAAGACCTTAATCATAATACATCGTTAGTATTCGCTACTCGGAAATCGGAATAAGGACATACGTAACGTAGTTTGAACTTTATTGTCTTTTTCCCTGGAGTTGAAGAGTTCCAATACTTAAAAGAACTGTGTGCTACATTTTAATGTCTATATATGCTATATATTGTACACTTCTTCGAAAACAAGTTTGGATGAACAAAATATCTAGAATATATGTTTAGTAATTTTTGTATATTTTTCTTTGAATTATACAAGAATTTCCATCAATTGATATCTTTTCAAAACCCCTGGTAACGCATGCTGATTCTTTGTCTACAAACATCTGATGGCACTATAATCTTAAGGTAGTATGGGATACCTCCACGTTATGACGTATTTCCGTTTGAAGTATTGTTTTGATTTGCACGAGTGCTTATTATCGGGTCAAAATTTGTAGATACACCGTTGAAAAGAACAATCTGAAGCCTATTTCAATGCAAGTTCTCACAAGTCGGCATTTTAAGTAAAAACAGACAAAAAAATCGCAAGTAAATAAATTTACTTATAATTGTACAACGGACATTTAAAAAAGCAAACCCCTGTAAAAGGTAGTTTCAACATTGCTGCTTTTGAACACTTTTAAGCAAAAGCTGTATTTCAATTGTTTGAGTAGCTGTACAGCACCTTGTGTGCGGTGAGGCATGGATAAGTGCGATTACTTCACATTGTGCTGAATTATCACCAATCAATTATCACGTTAACCAGAGCTGGACTTTTTTGTTATTTAATTCAAGAAGTAACTGTTTGGTCACAAATCAGCTAGCTATTGTATATAGTCCCAAAACGTTCAGATGAATGCAATTGCTCTGAACAAGACACCTCCTGGAAAGCGATTGTCCATGCATTGTTTTCAAAACCGCTCAAAGTTGAAAACTACAAAGTGCGATTTTTTTATGGTTGGGAAAAAATGCTCATCATTTCTAGAATAGCACCCAGGTTTTTTCAACCATTGGAAAATAAAGAAGGATAACTCTTCCGCTCGGATCTTTTAATTCAAAAAATTTTAAATGCATTTTATATTTTCCATTTATATATATATTTTCAATTTCTTTATTTCACTTTGCTAACATATTAAGATACATTCTTATTGTAGACTTTCATGAAATGTTATCCGTCTGTTTTCAAGAAATAAAGTTTTCCCAGTTTTTTACGCTTATTTTTTGTTGAAAATTAAAAAAATACTAAGACATATTTCTTGTCATTTTTGTTTTTATAAACACTTTATATTAGCAAACGCCTGCCTATAATATTAAGCTTATGAAAAAAGAATTATGCAAGAAAAAAAATCGTTTTTGTATTTCTCATTAAAATAATAAAAATATTATTAAAATTACACTTTAATATACTGAAAGGTGGGGGTATTTCAAATCCTTCTAATTTGGGTACATAAATATGTAGGAGAAGTTTCGTTTGGTATCCCATACCACCTTAAATTAAGAATATCTCGAAAAATTATCAGTAGGTAAGGTACGTTGCGTATGTCCTTAAATATGTTAGACGGTATTGGGTTTTAGATAGTTTTGTTTAATAAAATGTTTCTGGTATTATTTAAAACAGAAAATTGTTTTCTTTAATTTGGTAAATATGAAATAAAAAAAAAACTTGCTTGTATTTATCTTTAATTTTGATAGACATTGGTAATGACTTCCGTGTAAACGTTTACTCAGTTTGTAAACGTTTACTCAATTTGTAAACGTTTTGAGCATTTAATCGAAACCTCGCCGTTTACACGTTTAAGCGTTTCGCCCTTAACTGAAATTTTTTTTTTTTTTTTTGGGGGGGGGGGGGGGCTGATAAATACAGTTGAATAAGTAAATAAATGCTAATTTTAACTAATTTACAAAATATTGAACTCTAAAGCCTAGATCTGTTCCTTACTTTGCAAATTCATCTTTTCAAAATTTGTGGCTTTGTGTGGGGTCAACCAAAAAGGTCAAAAGGATCAAAAGAAATGATTTGGAATGCAAAGTTTTACATAGAAATATATAGGAAAAATCTTTAAAAATCTTCTTCTTAAGAACAGCAAAGCCATGATAAGTCATATTTATATGGAAGCATCCTCAGGTAGTGTAGATTCAAGTTTGTTCAAATCATGACCTCCGGGGGTAGGGCGGGGCCACAATGAAGGATCAAAGTTTTACATAGAAATATATAGGAAAAATCTTTAAAAATCTTCTTCTCAAGAACAGCAAAGCCATGAGGCCAAAAAAATAATAGTCTTGTTTCCTGCTACCCGACCTACCCTATTTTTTTTGCACCCAACCCTAAAGTTTTTTTTTTAAGTTTTGGAAGAAAAAAAATCGAGAATTTCCGGAATTTCATCGTTCTGTCACCGTAATCAGTTTTCGTGTTAGCACAAAACAAGCATTTCATGAAATTCTTGTTTTAAATATGGGCTTTCATAAAATACCACTTGAGTTTTGCATAAAAAGACATGAAATTCAATTTTAAAAGACAATATTGACCTGTGACATGTTTAATTTTATCTTGTATTAGTTCATATCCAAAAAATGCTGTCAGAAAAAAAATAAAATAAAAATATAAAATAAGATAATTTTCCTACCTACCGACCCTATTTTTTTCAGGCTGGTAGCAGGAAACAAAACTATTATTTTTTTTTGGCCTGACGAGTCGTAATTATATGGAAGCATCCTCAGGTAGTGTAGATTCAATTTTGTTCAAATCATGACCCCCGGGGGTAGGGCGGGCCTCAATGGAGGATCAAAGTATTACATAGAAATATATTGGAAAAATCTTTAAAAATCTTCTTCTCAAGAACAGCAAAGCCATGATGAGTCGTAATTATATGGAAGCATCCTCAGGTAGTGTAGATTTAATTTTGTTCAAATCATGACCTCCGGGGATAGGGCGCGGCCACAATGGAGGATCAAAGTTTTACATAGAAATATATAGGAAAAATCTTTAAAAATCTTCTTCTCAAGAACAGCAAAGCCATAATGAGTTATTTTTATATGGAAGCATCCTCAGGTAGTGTAGATTCAAGTTTGTTCAAATCATGATCCCCGGGGGTAGGGCGGGCCACAATGGAGGATCAAAGTTTTACATAGAAATATATAGAAAAAAATCTTTAAAATTCTTCTCAAGAACAGCAAAGCCATAATAAGTCATTTTTATATGGAAGCATCCTCAGGTAGTGTAGATTCAAGTTTGTTCAAATCATGACCCCAGGGCGTAGGGTGGGGCCACAATGGGGGATCAAAAGTTTTACATAAGAACATATAGAAAAAATATTTCTTCTCAAGAACGGAAAAGCTATGTTTAGTCATATTGATATGGAAGCATCCTCAGGTAGTGAAGATTCAATTTTGTTCAAATGATGACCCCTGGGATAGGGAGGAGCCACAATGGGGGATCAAATTTTTACAAAGGAATATATGGGAAATTTTTTTTAAAAAATCTTCCCAAGTACTATAAAACCATTTGTTATAATGACATGGAAGCAACATCAGGTAGTTTAAAATTCAAGCCCCCCCCCCCCTCCCCCAGTAATCATTTCAATACTGAACTGATTTGTGCTTTTGCCTAGCCAATGTGCTCAGGTGAGCGATGTGGCCCATGGGCCTGTTAAAAATTGGTTGCTCAAAGCACTCTCTACCATCGGCTCGTACATTCACCTCTGTCGTTGGCTCGCGTATATCACAATGATAAGCCCGAGAAATAGTGCATTTCTTTCAATTCTTGACGTGAGCCCATTGCTGAGGTGTCTGAGAGAAGAACGAACGACAACTCTGCAAAGGAGATTGTGCTCAAAGAGGAAAATTCACTAGGCCTACACGATAGCGACCAAGGGGAATAACTCCGAGGAAAAATACATCATAGGAAAACCATCTGTATTGAAAAGGACGTACTGTCATTAATTTTTTTTCCAATGTACATATAAGTAGTCCCATATTCTTGGGAAATCAAAATACAAGAGGCAAAAACTTTTTTCCTGTAAAACATGTTAAAAGACAAAAGTTGCAAAAAGGGTTCGCTACATGGGCCTATAAGATGGGAATATTCATAAAAATGGCGGCCAAGGCCAAGGGACAAAACTTTTGAAAAACGTGGCTTCAACTTTCCTTGAATTAGTACCTAGTAAGGAAGACTTGAGAACGATTAAAACGAGCCCCCCCCCCTTTTTTTTTCAATCACCTGTTAAAAACATTCTTACCTTCTATTGGACAGTGGACGAATGTTGTAAAAAGGTATGTGCGCCTTTGACCTATGATACTTGGCGTCCATCCACGTGACCGTTCTGAAGCTTCATCTTATCACGTGACTTCACAAATGGGTACAATAACAAAGACATTTTAAACAGATATATGTGTCTACAGAGTACAATTAAAGATGACGCATATTAATTGTTGTGGGTATTTCATTAGGAAGTGTTAATTTATCATGCAGAGATACCCCTGTTGTATTGTTCCATCGATAACACCGCTCCGGAGATAAACAGCGGGGATTGTGGGAGGGGGGGGGGGGGTCTTTGATACTGCACGGTGCTACATCTGCAGTTTTTATTTTCTCTCAGTCTGCATGACGTGAACGTCCTACTCTTATAAAATAACAAATGTAGAATTTTTTATGGGTTATAATTCAAATAAATTTATTATTATTATTTCTATCATATCCATCAGCAGCTGATTAGTCCTTAATATTATTTTGTAATTTTAATTTTAATTATTATAACTTCTCTGAACAAATTATACGTATAGAGGAGTTTTAAAAATACATGTACAATATTTATTATTTTTGTAACTAATATACAGTATATGTTTTTAGTATACAATCATAGACTAAATATGTTAGGTCATACGACCTATGTAATTTATGAATACAATATATTAACGTAAATCCTGACTTTAGCTTTAAATTGATAATGTGTTTGATGCACTTGAAATATTTCTACTGATTTAAGTATTGTACGTGGATAGGGAAGGGCTTGAAAAAAGATTAAAAAAAAAAAAAGAAATTGTATTTTAAATATAGTAGACTAAAATAATTAAAAATAAATAAATAAATAAGGTATGAATACATATAAAGCAATATTATGAATCATATATGTTCATTTTTTTTTAAAATTAAAGATATATATTTTTTTTAAAAAAATGATTTTTTTTAAAGCAATCCGTGCAATACGTTCTGTGCGAAAGGGAGCGAGGCTTTCCGTACTGCGTCTGGTGTTACTGTTCTGAACGCTAACCCCAATAGTATATGGTATAATGGTAATTAATACCATAGACAGCGTTGAGAGCTGTAATCCAATCCCGTTAACTTTTTTGTCGAGATGTAACTCTGTTTGTATTTTGTCAAATGTCAGTATGACCGTGCAAAATAACGGACTCACGAACGGAAACAACAAATACGAACCGATACGTTTTTTTAACTACCCAAAATATCATAGTTCAAGTTCAATGTTTAAGACTCGACGTGTAGAGTATAAAAATGAAATCCAAGAACTAAACGGTACACTGCGTTCGAGATAAGAGTCTGAGATCAACAAATTACAACTGTAGAAATAAAGATACACGATTTCAAACTGAGAAATTGTGAATTTACATGTCTGGATTTTTGAACAAGATTACCCTCCATAAGACTCTACCTGGCGAGTAGAATGGGTAGAAATTGCTGAGTTATTTTGAAGTCCCTGTTAATTTATTCAAAACGTGTCAGACATTAAGGCACATAGATTCTTGGGTGAGGGGTGGAGTGGGGGTGGGGGTGGGGTTGCAGGAGGCCTTTTGAGAATGTAAAGTTTTAATTTAAATTTTAAGGAAATTTAATTTCAATGAAAGCCCCCTCCCCTGTTTATGGACCTTTACATCCCATTAAATAAAATTTTGAGCTGGGAGAATTCTTCTCCTTTTTTGGAAGGGGGGGGGGTAGTCAAAGTTGGCTTGGATTGCTTAATGAGTGTATTTCATTTAATCATTAGATCATGTAATAAAACAGTTATTGCTATTTATTATGTCAATAAAATGATTTAACGACCTTCTAAGTACAATATTCACCGAGTCCGAAGGGCTCGGTGAATATTGTACTCCTCAGATGTCTAAATCATCGTATTGACCTAAAAAACCAGCAATAATTATGTAATATTTTACAACGATGAACTTAGTTTCTTACACACCCGGCCCCAAGGACCTATCTACAGTATATATGTCTCTGTCTATAGACTGTTAATAGTTACACAATATAAATAGGCACATAAATGAAGAAAAAGTGATATTAAAATGTCCTTTTTTATGAGGTTCTTGCGGATTATATAAAATTAGCAGATTGTCTTTTTAACAACTTTGCCATTTGCTGTAATCCGAAATTACTTGTCATGTGGTATTTCCTTTAATATCGTGCACGCATTAAGTTCGATAGGCTTTACTCGTTCTGTTTTGAACTTTTCAATTTTTCGAAGCGAACGCTTTACCTGTGACACTGCATTTTTTTCAGTAAGAGAGGACACCGAAATCTTTACAAGGCCTAGTTTATTGCCTCTGTTTTTTCAAGCGGCATGCTGCCACGCCATTTACATTCTCGTCAAGATGGGCTATAATTTCTCGCGCAACATCAAGAATGTCCTCCTCGCTATGGCATTTGACAATTTTTTGCAATGTAGTGAGTTTGTAGGACATTTTGCAAGGTGAAGGTTAGGCTAATTGTTGGATGGTTTCTAACCGGTTGACAATAGAATCAATTGTCCGTGACAAAGTATCGATCTCATTTTTATGAATAGCAAGTTCAAGGTCAATATCAGTCATCAATGATTTGAATTTTTTATCTTTAGTGCTACTCGAAAAAACTTGTCTAAGTTTTCTTTCTGTCATCGACTGTAAAGAATTCTGTACTTTCTGTAGCCTTTCAATGGCTTTACTATCAAATGTATAAGATTCTTCATTTTCACCGATCCCTTGAGAACTACCATTGCTACCTCCTTCCGCCATTTTGACTAATTTATAGCCACTGGCTTCGGAGTTTTGCCATCTGAAGATACATGTAGCCTACGTTTGCCGTCTGACATACCATATAATCTTTGTTTGAACAATACATGGTCTCTTAACGGTACTTACAAGTCTTAAGTATGCTAAAGATACTTTTGAACACCAGAAAATTCACTCGAAAACTCTTCCCTTGCTCGAATCCGAACACCATGAGACCATCTATCTTCACGCACGCGCCTCATGTCTAAATCATGCTTAACATAGTACATAAAAAAAATTCAGCAGTGGCTTTGAAGGGAAAAAACTAATAGCAACAAATTTTTGGTGATTAGATCTGTTGTATAAAAAACCATTTAACTGTTAATTTTTTTCGAAAGTTGAATTGACTTTTTTCAGATTTCGTCTTGAATTTTAGATCTGCATTGTCAGTACACATAATAATGTGAATTAGTGTCAGTGAGCCCCCCCCCCCCTCCCCCCCCCCAAAAAAAAAAACAACAACAAATGACTCATTATTTCTTGCCTAAATGTAACACATTAACACATTTGACTAATTCAATTTTACTGAGGACTAAAAGTTCAAAATAAATCAAGTAATCATATAGCCTCTTAAACAGACGGGGGGACAAATTTTTTTTGTTGTAGAAATTTTTATCATCCGAAATGCCAAGATCATTTTTCCACAGTGAATTAAACTCTTGAATTAATCATAGCTTAGACAACGTTTATCATATATGTAGTGGAGAGTACCTATTCAGAGAGAATGATAGATGCATGGCCGTATGAACGAATAAGATTGCACATATTTTATCTTTTTTTTTTTTTTTTTTTTTTTTTTTTGGCTTTTTTTAGGAATTTTTGCTTGGTAGTCCCCCTCCCCCTTTAAATGTTTATGTGTGCCCAAAATTGAAATTGCTTTAAACGGTCCTGTAGATGTTGTACACTACCATGTCTTAATTGAGTAGGGTCACTATCGTCGCTGGGCAGTTGATACAGTGAATGAAAAAGTACAAGTCATTTTCGTTGATTAGTACAAATTTTCATTTAAAAATTTCCTGGTACTTTGTAATTTGAAGGTAGGTTAAAAAAACCAAACTTCTAGGGTCACTGAGTCGAGATTCTTGAAATCTTACCCTTTAGATACCATGCAGCGTGATTGTGATTTATGCAGAGCTGGTTTCTAAACAGAATAAATCGTACAACTGAGTATCTTAATTGATCCCTTGACACCCCCCCCCCCCCCCCCCGAAATGCCGCTAACATTTTTTCATATAACAGACTACACTGTTTAACAGTGGTCCAAAGATAACACGACAGGAAGAAAAAGTCTTTAAAGAAAGCATGTACATTGTGTAATCTAAGCATCGAATTCTGGATAGAAATAGAATAATTATGTCTTTCCTTAAGACACATAAGGTCTTCGAAATAAAGATTTCCAACACCGAAGACTCTACCCTTTGGTGAAATCAATAACAATTCCTTCCTTCCCCTAAATCCGAAGACATGGTATAGAGTTATAAACAGTGTCACCCAAACGTGAAAGTAATGTAATCAACAACAAAATGAGATAGCAATGAAATCGGAATGTAATCATTCAGTAGAATGGTTTTATCGATGCCCCCAGAACATTACAATTATATGTAGGACCAGGCGGAATATTTCGGGGGTTATATATAGACGTGGCCTTTAGAAGGAAAAATGAGGGATTGGAGCTTTGGAGGTAAGACTGATATGTTTTTATCATGTTGAAAAACAGGGTCGACAACTTTATCATAATCTCGTTCCAAATACTAGCAGTGTTCATTTTTTCATTTTTTTTAAAATTTAGAACTATTGAAAAATCAAAATCTACGTTAGAAATATATAAATTAAATTTAAAAAAAATAACCTAGCTGTGATTTTTATTACACAATGTATTTTGACTTGAATATGTGTGTTTGATTCATAAGTACTAGTACTGTAAGCCAGCTTTTATTCGCGTGCGAGAAATATCCGCGAGTTTCGCGACCTACTTGAACTTGCGAATATTAATTGCCGCGGACCAATTATTTTGCTTTGTATTTGTAGATCATGTTTCCTAAGTCGCGAAAACCTGACGGCTCGCGAATAAAAAATGACGCGAATTATAGTTGGTTTACAGTATATCGTATTAATTGTAGAGTTTGAAAACGTTTCTTTGCTTTTGTATTCAATTACTTCGTGTTTCTCATTGCAGCTCTGTAAACATGCCTGGAATATTATATACTTGTATATTTCTTCTCATTGTATCTGCCTATGGTCAACAAAATCAGACCGAGTCTCCCCAGGAGTGCGTGGTACGCGAAGGTGCCACATTCGAATTTAACAATGCCTCATTTGGCGAAGCCCCTCTAAAAACACTCGTCTCTACTTGTTTGGAAGAAACTGAACAAATTCTAGTGAGTGAAATTAATAGTGTTTTTAACCAAGCACAAAATTTCAGGAGGCGACGAAACAAAAGATCCTTTGTTCGCAGACGGCATTGGAAAGACCGAGGTTTTGCAAAAGGAAGAATGCAACATAATTCAAAACGAACCGGGTCAAAGGAGCTTGTTATGTCAGCAAACTGTCATCAACAATTCACGTCCATTCGGGTCCTTCGATATCCTGGTTCTTTTGCTGACCTGGAAATACAGAAGAAAAGGACCAACCTCTCTGGTCATGAATCCACTGGAAGGGATCTTAGGACATCTCGACGAAGGAGTCTCCAAAAAAGGTTGATTAAGGAGAAAAGAAGAATGAGAGTCGCCGGATCTGTAAAACGTAAATCAGGCAGACGACGAGGTAGAACAACGCAAAGACAAACCGCGTCATTCAGGGCAAGCAAACTCGACAACGGTAGTGAAGCGCAATCTTCTTTTCGCGTTCTTTCCCGAAATGTTGACACTCGTAGAGCAATAACAACAAGACGAAGAAGCAGACGACTGATGACTGGGAGACGAGTTCGACTTCAGCTCAGAATTAAAGGAGGAAAAGCATCTGCAGCCGTAAATAGCTTCACAAGAAGAAGACGCACAGGGAAACAGAGAAATTCTCTGCGTGCCTCAAGAAGCAGAGGAAAAAAGAAATCATTGGCCAGAAGAGGAGATAGAAGGCAAAGGAAGTCGAAAAAGAATACCAGAAAGGGAAATATTCAGATTCGGAGTAACAGGCAAAGCAATATAAAGCGTTATTCGGCTGAATCCAAATTACTACGTAAACATTCTTCAAGTTCAAAGCGTAAGAAATCAAAAAGAAGACAGCACATATCATTACCAAGGATTTCAAACCAAAGATTTGAAACCGCTACTACTGGTGTCGTCACGGAAAAGGAGTTACAGGTCTCAAACAATATTAATACATTTTATCAGAACAATGTCAACAAAGGCAGCACGCGATCTAAAAATCGAAAACGGCGCCGAAAACAAGTGCTCAGACGACGAAGAAATAGGATACGCCATGCTGAAATACCAACAAATGAAAATCGAAAAAATCTAGATCTCGTAAAATTAGGCGATAAATTTGTTGAAAGAAATAACATTTTTCATCTATATCTACCGGCAAGCCGGGAATCCATCAAAAGATTTCCTTATCAGAAAAACAGGGATAACTTCAATGGCGTTCATGATGATGTTAAGGGATATGCTGAGGTAAATAAACTCTCAACTGATTTTTTTTTTTAATTCTTTGTTTAGTTTTTCATCAAGAAAGGAATAGCCAAATGTTTCAATAACTTTCATTGCAGCTAATCAAGCAAACTGGAGCGGAGATCACAATTGCTAAAGAAAGTAAAAGGTATGTTACTATTAAACTCCATTCTCGCTTGATTTCTTTTTGCTTGAACAAATGTCTTTTCATGCAATAAGGAAAACGTGTTCAATTGAAGTAGGTTGATCATTATTTTACATGTTTAAGTGAATGCTTATTAGGAAAGTGAATAATCTCAGAGAGATTCTTTCACGGTTCGTTCAAAGTAAAATGCTTCACCAGATATGGTTGGTATTGTAAGTCGTTCAAATTGATATCTGGAAAACAGCAGTCGGTCTCGTATATATGTAATTATATAAGAAAATTGTCCAAAAATAAATGCCTGGTTACTTTAATGAAAAAAAAATCTACATGTGTACGCTTATATATATTGGATGACATCTTGGGGTATATATATGTATATATATATATATATATATATATATATATATATATATATATATATATATATATATATATATATATATATATATATATATATATATATAGTTTTTTTTTCTCGATCCCTGTAATTACAGAAGTGGACCATTTGCGGAAGCCAGTGGACATATTCTTGGAATTCTGGGATTGTCACTCTGGATGACGTCACGATCAACTTCCTCTTAAAACACTCTCACAGAAGAATAATGTTAATATTTAGATTTTATTTTTCTCTGAATTTCAGGGGAACACATTTTATTTCTGGGGTATCACTATAATTCTGATTATGATATGTACATGTGTAGTTATACTTACTTCTATATAAAATTCCACTTGCAAGAAACCTTGTTTATATTTTTTTTTTTTAGAAAAATGGAAGAACGATAACACACAATCGATGCTTTATTTGAATAAATAAACGACATAATGTAGAAACCCGTAAAGTTAAGATAAAAATCACTGAAAACAAAATCGACACAGGATATATCTTTGCCACATTATATAAATGCACGAAGACGCCAAGTCTTGATGGCAGAGGAAAAGAATTTCCAAATTCCCCTTCGTCCAGAAATAACGTTATGTAAGAGCTATATACTAAATATATATTGATCTTATTTCAATTTTATACTTTCTGGACTGACAAGATCTTCATTTGACTGTTTACCAGATCTGAAAATTAAAAATAAATATTTATGTATATAATTTGTTATAATTAAATCAAAATTAATTGAAATAAAAAATGTGAAATAAAAAAGAAGAAGAAAGAACGGGTATATAATTATAAATGCAAATAAAAAAAAAATACAGTCTTTTTTATGAGTCGCATAATTAATATGATTTCACTACGTATTTTCAATCATTTACAAATTTGTTGTTAAAAGGTTCAATACTGGGTCTAGGTCTGGTTTAGGGTCTTGAATGAAATGAATGTGTAGATATCCATCTTGACATTGAATTTGGTCGTGTAAGGGCAATACATTATATGAACATAAGGTTGAATTCTGAGCATCAGTCGAGGAGGAAAAATGATGAATTTGAACCGATATAAATCTTAAGTCGCCCAGAGTGCGGGGTTCTACAGAATTGTACCAAAACACTCACCTCTGTGATTCAAGGGCATTTGCAAGTTAATAATCTCAAATATTATACTTTCAGGTAAATTAGTTGAATCTGATTCGTCGAGAAATATTTGTTAAAAAACACTATTACCCTCTGAATAATGAAACTACGCCCTCCAGCATAGCTGCGCCTCGGTTGACAATGGCTTTCTTGGGGTGAATTTTTTTAGTGTTACCCCTAAAAACATGCAGTATTTATATAATAATTTTTCAAATGATTCTTTCTGTGATCGTATTTAGTTAGAATGGTAAAGACAAAATAAACGTTTTGTACATGTACTACAATTTGTCAAGGTTAAAAAGTCGGTATTTTAGGTCCAGGGGAAAATACCTTTTACTGCATGATGGAAACTGCAAGGTTTACTAGCCGTGCACTCATGTTTGAAACGTTTAGCAAGGAGCTAGCCTCTTCAAACTGGTAATAAACAGTAAAGATGCACGCAAACAATTGTGTGTATTTAGGCAAAACACACATGAGCATGGAGATATAATTTGTAGTTGAAATAATGTATGAGATAATTAACAGAACATTTTTTTTCAACTGGCTAAGCTATCAAGTCGATCGAGCATACGTGCTTAGAATTTTTCATGACTGAGTGCTTTTCAGATTGTTTGCATTGCGTGCATATTTATTTTATTATGAATCAAAAGACAGGTATTAAAATGTAAAAAATTTAAAAAAAAAAAAAAAAAAAAAAAAAAAAAAAAAAGACTTAACACAGTCATGCAATTAAAGTTGAGTCGTTTAAAGTTGATGCACCTCATGAAAAATTAATGCATCCTAACCACGTGCCAGGTTTTATAGGTGCTGCACAAACTTTTGCTATTATTTCTCCGAAAGTTTACGTTTATAATTACAAGTTTAATTTCTTTTTTTGTGGTAAAAAAATCTATGTCAGTAATATCATTCCAATGAGGGAAAACCATGCTTTCGAGTTTAGAATCCAATACACGTAGGACATCTTCATACAATCTGGAATTTCAGGTGTAACTGACAAAAATTAATTCACTGTTTGACAGTTCTGTATGATGTGAGTATATATGTATGTCACCGTCTTCTGAAAGGTCATGATATCAATAAATTTGTACTAATCACTACAATAACTGCAAACGCCACAAGGCCTTCGTATGATTGAAAGAGTATCTGGTCAGAACATGTTTACAATGTAAAAAAAAGTGGAATATCAAATATGGCTAAAACATAGTCAAGCCTAAAGATCCAAGTCCTCAGAACCGGAAGGGGGGGGGCTATCTCAATAAATAATAACACTAAAGAATATACAAAAGTATCATTTTTGAACCAAAAATTATTTATTTTATTTAATACTGCTTAATTTTGGTTATATTAAGAGTGCAAAAAAAAAAAATAAAAAATAAAAAAAAAAATAAATAAATAAATAAAAATACTTCAAGAATGCACCAGAACCTTCAAAATGATAATCATGCATTTATTCAAAATTTCTGGCTCAGAAGAGGGTATACCCATTTCAGACTCCCTGGCACCCCTTGGATAATGAAATATTTGATCAATGAAAAATGTATATACAACGTACTAATGTACCCCTGAAATGTTCACCTTGATTGACAATAGATATAGGTCCTGGGACCGCGTTCGATTTGTACGGTTGTATACTTTTCCTGTTTTGATCAATTATAGCTGTGACTTCAAGTTTACATTTTATCCGGACTTTTACCTTCTTCTATAAGCCTCTGTTTATATTTCTCTCCAAATGTTCAAATTTAGGAGAAACTTGTATAGGTACAGTATATGTTCAAATCATCAAACGAAAAAAAGTTATATAAACAGGGCTCTAATTGGCGACTAATTTAGTCGCCATGGCGCCTAAAAATTATGATTTGGGCCTAGAGGTCTGAAAAATTGAAAAAAAAGAGTGACAAAACTCTAGGACAAGCATTTACAGTGCAAAGTTAAATTATTTTTGTTTTAGAGAATTAAGCACACACAACAAAAAAATTGCGTTAAAGATTCCCCAAAAGGCTTAACGTGGCTCCATCTAGAAATTTGAGCTGTTGATATACCACCTGATTTATGAAAAGTGCAATTATTATAAACTTTTTTTTCAAATCCTAAGATATCAAATTGTACAATATATCCTTATAATTGTAAATACCATCGTTTACATATAAAATTATCAATTTAACATTTATTGTAATCAGCCGAATCTTTTCTGCTTAAAAAGAAAAGAAAAAAATCTCAATATTTTAATAACAACGTTTCAAAACGATAAACTATATATACATGTAGAATATTTAGAACATATAACATAGGTGACTATAAATAGATGCGCCCTATGACGTCATTAGAAATAAGTAAAAATCTGGTACCTATGTATCACATCATCGTCAAAAATGCTCTTTAATAACGCATGTATACATGTATAAATATATATAATAAATTTTGCCACACGGACTACAAACGCAGAAATATTTGCTTATTGATAACAAACATTATATTTAGCACAATTATCGTGTATTTGAAAAAAAAAATTAAATAACCGTAAAATCACAGCTGTAAGATCGTCATTTGGCCTGAACAGATTGCTTTAATTAATTGCTATATAATCAACATTTACCACATATGTGGTACTAGATGCAATAAATGCCGTTTAATAAAAGTTATGCAGGGTAAGACGTTCTTACTATGACATCATCATGATTTTTGTACATATACAGGAAGTGCAAGAAAAAAATATATACTCAACAAAAAAACTGCAATAAACAGGCAAGTCAAAATGCAAAATTCCTTTAAAAAAATGCAAATAAACGTAGAATAAAATTAAAGTTCAAAATATAACAGTACATGCCTCAATTTTCAAAGCGAAACCAATCGGAACTGCAAGCCAGTCATGTAGAACTGACCAAAAACGATTTTTCTTTTAATATAAAGTCTATCATATTATGATCTTAAATAGTGTGCAGCATTATTATAATATTGTAAATACAAAGTAAGTTACAACACACACAAATTCTGCACTGAATATGCAAGTCAAAATACAAAAGCAAAGCCAGCTTGATTGCAAGTTCAACAATGTCTCATCATGCACCAAACGGAAGTTAAAATCTGAAAGGCGCCGGAGACGGATGATAATGATTGCGCCGGGGTGAAGGGAAGTATACCATATTTCGGAACTCATCTCTATATACCTCTGGAATCATGCCCATCGAGGAGGACACCATTTTCACAGAATTCCTTCCCAGAAGTCTACGCTCGTATTCGATCAGTTGGCGCCAAAATCCAGCGTTGGGGTGCACGACGGGTCTGCGTTTTTTACAATGCTGATAAGCCTGTTCCAGAGTCATCCGATGATATTTTATTAAATAAGCCATACATATAGTGGCAGATCGACTAACCCCTGCAACACAGTGGACAAGAGTCCGCCCACCGCGCATGTGCACTTGGTTGATTTTGTCTGCGCACCTGTCGAAGTATGCACTCAGTCTAGCTTGAGGTGCGTCCTCGATGTGAATTTGAATACATTCCAGATTGGGTAAGTTCAAATTCGGAATTTCCAGGGTCAGGTTTATGATGTTAGTGATGCCGAAATTTCGGACTCTGTCGGTCTTTACCGCAGCCGCGCTGCTGAGGAACAGGTGATCGGTGATTTGGGCTATTTGAGAAAACATGGCGAGATCCATTTACAATGTGATTCCACCCGAAAAATTCTGAAACATAAAATAGACATTTTATTCCTTAATGTTGTAAAGATATGAATGAAACTGTTTATATTATTTTATGCATGATTTTAATATAAATTAAACTTTTAACCCTGCAAATGTTAGGAAATCGTTAACTTATATCTTTGGAGCATTAATGCATGAAATTAAAGGACAAAATAAACCAAACAAGTTAACCATTAAAGAGTTATGACTGCATATATACACATGTATATGTTTGCATATTTAATCCAGTTTAAAATGTAGGAATGACAAATGAATTCCATTTTTAGTTATAAATCGCAATGGTATTATGCCAACAATTTAAGTTTCAATTTGAGATTTATAGTCAAACCTCGACCTCCTTATCTCAAGCCCAATAGGACCTCGAAAAAAGTTCCAGATATCCGATGACTTGAGATATCAAGGTTAAAATACATAAAGAAAAACGTTTTGGACTTTTAACTCACTTTACATATATACATGTAGTAAAACCATTATTTATCGAAGAGGGGAAGGGGGTGTCTGGGAAATCGAAAGTCAGCGAATGGTTTCGAGGGTTGGACTATAGCTCTGTTACTTATATATCCGTCTTAGTTTCATTGTATGTGTATACATGCTTCTTGACATTATTCTACGGTATTATCGGTGGAGGAAAAAAACGTGGATTCATATACATTGTATTAAAAGCCATCATAGAAATAATTGACCTAGAAGATGTAATTTCAATGTTTTTGGTCTTGGTAATTACATTATTTACATACTCACTATTATAATACTGAACCTGAATGTCTCTAATCCGTTCCAGCGGATTAGTTTACATGAAAATATACTGAGTGAAAGCACATGTACTTGATAGTGGAAACGACATATTTTTGCTGGGCATACATGATGAGTTTATCACAAGTAGTGTTAATCAAAATCAGGTTTCAAACGCCGATGTGGCTATGACATTTCGGCATGTACAACTGAAAAATATATATCCCTACATGTATAGATCTACACGTGCAAACAATAAAGTCTCCCTTCAGGAATATCCAGTTCATTGTGATCTGTGAAAATTAGTCAAGACAGGTAACGCCACTCACCTCTAGGAACTGAAGTCGATATATACAATGCAAGCATATTACGTAACTATTTTTACATCAGTGCAACTCTTTCATTAATAAGACCAGAGCATTTGAACACATACTTTTGATGTAAATGACAGAGGGTTATAGAGCTACAGAGATGGATATGAACTGATAATGACAAAGGATGACACAATAGGTCATACAAATATATAACTAATGATGCAGTGGGGGCGGATCCAGAAGTTTTCCTGATATGTGAATCTAAGTTTGGAGAAAAAGGCACACGGAGAGAGAGAGAGAGAGAGAGAGAGAGAGAGAGAGAGAGAGAGGTCAGTTCCACTTAATGGAATTTTTTTTTATCTTCCGGCAACCAGTGATAACTCTTTTGATCCGCCCACACAAGTTTTTGGCATTCGCTTGACGAGGTGTGTCAAATAAATGTTAGATGAGACAGTGAAGCGGAGAAAAACAAACTTTCTGTATAAACTTTGTGGTGTGTTCAGTAAACTCTCAGTCAGTAAACCCTATGACATTCGGGGAAATCTGGCAAAAACAAAAACATATCCACACCATTACAATCAAGAGGCGGATCCAAGATCCAATCTAAAAGTTCAACTTTGACATTTGACCACCACACTGATGAGCATTGCAAAAAGTGCTTTTTATATTTTGTTTATAGATATTTTTGAAAACCACAAAAGATTGCCATTGCATTGTTTTATATTGTGTGGCGGCAGTAAGGCATTATAGTTTTCAAGTAAAACAAAAAAAAAATGTCGCAATATATTATTCATTTGAAATCAAAATACATGTACATACAGCTTTAATTCATAACTTATGAAAAATAATTTAAAATTGCTTATTACTATAGTACCTCACAAGAAGATATTCATTAACTATTTCAAAGATACGTTTCTTGGTGCTTTTTCCCCCAAAGAAACTGAGTAAATTTTGCTGAAATCTATAAACAGATTGTGCTTATAGCTGTCAATAATTATGATTAACTATGTTGGAATTTGCACTAAATGTTCTATCAGCAGCTTACTCGCGTTACATATACTTTCTGCAAGTAAGAAATTAACTTGCTTTCTAATTCAAAAACACTTACCCGGGTCCTGGTGAAGAAAAAATAACAACCCAAATTAAATTCCCTTCGTCAAGCCTTCATAATCCAATACAACCAAATTTATATTTATCAGGAAAAAAATTCTTAACACAACCACTGAGTCGGAATCCGGCTGATTCCGCTTTCGTACGCAAGAACTACTGCCTATGATGATTAATCCTGCTTCCCTCAAAATAAAACTGCTCAAAAAGCGAGGCTTACGCCGGATCACCGTCGACTAGTGTGTACCCCCTTCTTTTGGCACCAAAGTTCAAAAGGGGATTACACAAAGCGTGGAAATCGGATTTCAATTTCAATGCCCCATTTACCTTTAACAATGTCGAATAAATAATTAAATTAGGTAAATTGTACACGTATGTATATAAGTAAATGTATTATGTTCTTCATTCACTTTCACAGCCTTTTGCTCAAGGGGAAATCACTCCCCGAGGAGACATTTTTTTTTTCTCTGATATGCGCACGCCCAAACTACAAGTGCCTTCCAGCTGAGCCATTTATCTTTTTAGATATACATAAACAAGTCGAGCATCAATCGATTGGAGGTATTTTTATATAGGATCGGACAGGTGCGCTGAAGATACAGTGAAGAGATATATATCTTCGCGAAAACAGGAGGGGGAATGAATGGAGGAATTTATAGCGGGCCGAGAATGAATGAATTCATGACCTGGAATTTTAACCAAAAATATGCCCTGAATCTATCCTGGTATGATAATATGTATGCAATCTGAATTTTGTTAAAACAAACACACAAGAAATATTATTAATAAGCTGCATGCATTTTACTGTGAAAGAACATTTACAAGAATATTCGTTCTGAAAAAATTCAATTGTATAGATTTAGAAAATGACATATACTAGACGAAATTGCTAACGCACCAACGTAGAAAATTAATATGTACCTGTCCAGAACTTTTTTATGCTGCATTTGATGTATAAATATGTTACTATAGTCAAAAATAAGACATTTAAATGCCTATACTAATAAGTGAACAATATTTACTGAAGCGTAACCATTTCCTGGAAATGTATACAGCATTTAGGGAGGAAAAATTTCTATTTTCTTATTTTACGTTATTTGTGTTCTTTATATTTATGTATTTTTACAGATATATTGTAGATTATTTAACATTGCAGTATTATTTAAGAAAGTCAACACCTCCTCTTTACAAAAAAACAAATAAGTAGAATAAGAATGTCTTCACATAACCTTGCAATTGAAACCGGGCGTCATAGAAATATTGTAAAAGAAAGAAGATTTTGTGAATCTTGTAAAACCAACATAGAAGATGAATTTCATTTTGTTTTGTCCCTCATACAAAGAACTGAGAAGTAAATATATTAAAAGTTATTACTGGAAAAAACCATCCGCATTTAAACTAGTTCAATTACTGAGTGTCCAAAACATTTCTGAGCTCTGTAATTTCGGAAAATTTTTGCATTTAGCTTTTATGTTAAGAAACAAAAAAAAAGCTGTGATCCATTCTTCATTTGTCCTGTCTGTATATATGTATTTATTATGTGTTACAATATTTGTACTATTTGTTCATGCATAGAAGCGCCAAACCATGCAAATTTGTTCTATAATGCATGCGCTGCTTTTCATGTACAGAATTAGCGTCATACCATACCATTCTGACTTTTTCTGTGTATAATGTAATAAAATTGTGATAACACGTATGTATTAAGCAAATAAAGAATAATAAAAAATTATATTATTTACATTCAAATAAAACAAAATCAGAAAAAAACGGACACTGTGCGGTATGGTATACCACTTTGCAAAATTAAAGAATCTGTACTTTTTGTAATAAATCTCAAATTACTGATGAATTTCATTAATATCCTAGAATGTAAAGCTTTAGTAAAAGTAAGAAAAAATATATATACCTAGGCAATTATTATTCTCACAGACAGAATGGTATTAAATTTATGGAACAAATGTTGACTCAAAACGAAAAAAAAATCCTGAAAAATTACGTTTGTTTATTGAAAAAAAATTATGATGCTGTCTGTCCTCCCTGATATACTTGTTCCTTTTTTATATTTGTGTATTGTGTATTTGTACCTCTGACCAGTTTGAATTAAAATGTATGCGGAATGTATAATGTTCCCCATGTACCAATATTTTGGTTTGGATGAATAAATTGAACTTGAATTTGTCAGTATGTTCTCTACAGGGAATTCCTGCGGAAAGGTTTATAAAAAATTAAAACAATTGATTTTTTTTTTGTTTCTTCTACTTAAAAAAATGCTATACTAAGAAATGTAAATTATTTTTAATTTTTTTTTCTAAATTTGGCCACGACATTCAATACACCACACGAATTCTGCAAGATTGTTGCATTTGGGGTAACCGTAAGAGTGGTGGACACTTAAGTAGTAGTATCTTTATTGGCGTATACATTGCATATATTGCCACAAAAATATAACATTGTTTTATAAACATTGATCAACAGGTGTTACACAGGTGTTATAACATAATTTAAAAATATATATATATGAAAAAAAGAACTGTACATGAGTATTTCCTATTATTAATCTTGTTTCAGAGTAAAGTTTTCCCTCTTTTTAAAACATTCAAACACGTATTTCCCGAGTTTTTTAAGTATATTTTCTGAATCGGAATTAAGTAATTCAGGGCGAATTTGTTTCTCAAAAACTGGTTTTAGTTTTTAACCAGTTTTGTAAACTGTTCATTTGTTCCACAAACTGGTTTTAAACTAGTTTAAACCCAGAACCGGTTTTCTATTTGTTTCTGCAGTAACTGAAACCAGTTCGTTAAACCAACTAAACCACCTCCGATGGTGGTTTATTCGGTTTACGAAAGAGCGGGAAGTATTCCAGTATGGCGGTGATGAAAGGTGGTGACTATTTTAATAAAGAAAAAAGTTATAAATGATTGTTTTTTCGAGGACAAACAACTCTTTTTGACTTTAATGCCACATTCTGATGTTTTATAGAAGGCTTCAGAGAATAGATAAATGCTGCATGGTGTTTGTTCAATGATAATGAACAGAAAATGTTAAATTTTCCTTTTCAAAAATGTTTTGAATCATTTGGACAAACTTTAACATGTATGGTAAATTGTAGAACTTACTGTAAAGACGGTTTTATTGTTGGAAATCTAAAGAGTAGTATTATAAATACCTGAGTTTTTATATTTCCATGTGTTAAAAATGTGGAAATTGATCATTTGATGAATCTTTGAGGCATTATAAATATAAATACTGCATTTTAAGTAAGATAAACAAGGAACAAAAAACTATAATTTCTTGGATTCTTTTATAAAGAAAAAGATTTTAACTTTATTTGCATGTGTAATTTGGTTAATATGTTCTAGCTCTTCATATTAAGGTTCCTACATTGTAAATGCATATGAAAAACGTCATAAAATTCTTGCTATTCTATCTCTTTTTTTCATCAGCAGCATTATTTCCGCTTTAAATTTCCAATTAACAATTAACATGATTAATATTAATATAATTAATCATGCATGCATCTTTTAGATGCCATCTTGTATAAACTGTTCATTTGTTTTACCAAGGTAAACCGGATCGAAACTTATAACCAGTTTAAAAACTAGTTTTAAACCTTAAACCAAAACCTGAACTAGTTTAGATGCAACAAATTCGCCCTCAATTACTTTTGCCATACTAGGTTCTGCAAGATAGTTGCATTTGGGGTAACCTAAGTGTGGTGGACAATTAAGGTAGGGATGCCAAAGCACTGGACGACTTTTTGGCGATATCATTGGCATATCGCTCTTCATCATTTAAGAAACATTTACACAACAGTTGTGCAACCTCACTGACCATCACCGGTAACCATCAACTTCATATCGGCTTTGAGAAATTGGTTTGGGGAAAAGAAGTCCATTTGAGGGTTTTGATTTGACTCTAAGATATCCGCAAATTCGGGTTGCATTGAGCAAAGTGGCATATTAAATTTGAATTACGTGTGCCGTTTAGACAAATGTTCTACACTGTAAAAAATGATGTTTAACTTGTGTTTAATTTTTAAACAGTCGTGTTTTACAATTAAACATGGTGGGTTTAAATACAAAACATTAGCGTTTAACATATAAACACGACTATTTAAATTGGTGTTCAATAAGTATGGTGTTTAATCATCCATCTTAAACACGCAATGTTCATATGCATCAAATCAAAAAATTAAATTAGGTGTTGCTTCTAAGTATTGCTGTGTGCATTTGCCATTTGTACAATTTCTTTAATTTACGAAGTAATTCCGTACATACTAGTAGATATTTTTCGACACAGAAAAAATACGAATAGCCAGGCAATACGTTGAGTTTAGATCATACCAAAAGCAATTACAATTAACATTAATTTATGGTAATTTTGTGCCAAAAATTCATAAATTTCATAAACTGCCAAAGGGGAAAGAGAAACATATATTATGGTGACTTTTATAATTTTACCAATATTTTAATCACCGGTGTTTAACACGAGTGTTCATTTCTTAACCATCATATATTTATAAATTAAACACATGGTATATATATAGAAAATGCAAATTAAACACCTGTGTTTAATGCGTTGTGATAGAAAATGACGCAATTGATTATGTCATAACATGCCATTTGAACGCAGAAGATGTAGAATCACTCATATACTGGCAAAAACACCATATCTAACAAGAAAACAGGAGGTATTTATACATTTCTTTATATAAAATCTGAAAAAAAAATTGAATGCTTAATACATTAGAGATTTATACTGCTTTTTATTTATGAAATGCAGGATTGTTAGGCCTATCGTCTGAGTGCAAATGCGGCCATGTGCAGCGATCGGCATAAAATATTTGTAGTCTTTAAGTATATTGCGATATCTAATTAATTTGCAGGGACGTTCATCTCTTATTGTGAATCCTAAGAAGAATACATTACTTGATAAAGGAAAGTGATTTTAAACGAAGATCACACTTAACCTTGAGAGGTGAGTTTAAAGGGCATTTCAAAGAAGAAGGGTCATCCCCCTTACACACACACACCCTCACACACACACAAACATCATTGTTTCTTAGCCTATACACTAGTTTTGGGTCTCCCAGTAACATGAAATTTAAGTAAATGTAATCCAATTACCTGCCCTTGATAAAATTTATGCTCCCTATCACGCATTATTATGATTATTTGCTGACCAAACATAACTTAACACATAAGCGTTAACAACAACACTTTTCATCCCCTGCCCGCGCATGTATTCTTTAAGGAGACTTTACATTTTTGGGGAGTGTTGTTTACCTGATAGAAAATGCCTTGGGTAGCCCCCCCCCCCCTTCTCTTAATTGTTGCTGTTGGGCTGCTCCTGCAGGTACATTAATATTTAATTTTTTAGTGTATACACTGTTTGTATGCTTAATATATGATTTATTTGTATTGCAGATTTTTATTTCAAACTTGTTTCTCAGTATGTATTATATAATTAAATTGGCATGAAGGATAAAAAATTATTTTTTTTATCTCAATGTATTCTTTTACAGATAATTTTCTGAATTTGCATAGTGAATATTTTTTATCTATCTATTTTTCAGGATATTTCTTATAAGAAGAAGGAATTAGAAATACTAAGGTTGAATAAAATTTTGGAGAATCATCCGTGGCAGAAGAACCTGAATTTTACACACAAGCAGAGGAGACTGTTTAACTCGGTTAGAATATTGTATGAAATTTAGTGAGCGATACCCCGGTAGCTCTTGTGAAGTTGCAAGAATATTTAATGAATTAGTCGTTTACAGGTAAAAACTGGAAATTTTCTTCATCTGGTTAAAACTCTGAATATTAGTGAAAGTAAAATTATACAGGTACAACAACTGGATTTATTAACTGCAATACATACACAATGTATATATCCCGTACCCAGGCAATAAATAACATTTTCAGTCTTTGTGCATTATATTTAATTATGAATTTGTTTGTTTTATTAAAAAAGATGTAATGGACGCCCTGTCCCTTTTTAAAAATAAAGTTTCAAAATTTTATTCCTGAAAAATAATATTTCATTTTATTAAGCGATTTTCCTATTTCACCCCCCCCCCCCCCCCACCCGGCCACCAATTTTATTGAATTTTAGTTCACATGCAGGTTTTACATGTTCATGCTTTTTTTTTTTTTTAAATAATTCTATCTTTCAACTTGAATTGAATTATGTATCTACAAGTGTGTGTTAGCAAATGTGTTGATAAATGTTATAATTGTTTATAAAGTTTGAATCTCTATTCAACATTAAATCATTTATTAATTAAGCTTTATGTACATGTTGGTCATCAAGAACAGTGTGTTTTGTACTGTTTTATGTTTGTTTCAAATAAAAATGTTGAAAACTTATAAACACGTTTAAGTGTTTATTTATTTTGTAAATTAAACACGTTGAAGTGTTTAAAAAATGGCGTATAAACATGTTTAAGTGTTTATTATCTGTTGCATCGAATAAACATGTTTAAGTGTTTAGGTTGAACGTGTTTATTAATAAAACATGAAATGTTTAAATTTTAAACACGTACGGTGTTTATTTATTAAACTCCTTGTGTTTATTCAGTTTTTAATCTTTAAACGTTTTGTGTTTTTGAAGTGTTTAATATTTAAACAGAATGAGAAAGAAGTATTTAAATATTAAACCTCATGTGTTTAGAATTTAAACATTTTAACGTGTTTATTTCTTAAACACTTCACGAAGTGTTTAAATTTTAAACGTGTTAAAGTGTTTATTATCTGTGGCAATTTGGTGTTTATTTTTAAAACACTTATTTTTTACAGTGTATATCTTGTACATGCAGATGAGAATAATGAATGGTGCGTAAGCAATTTTGTCTATAGTATATTACCCCCCCCCCCTCCTCCTCTCCATTGTATTTCTTGAAATAAGTTCCTCTTTACCAAAAGATTACAGAAAAAATCCACATTGTATTTCAATTAATAAAACTGAACTAATTAAAACACATATATAAACGTGTTTCTTCTCATGTAAATACAATGTATACCAGTATTTAACACTATACAGAGTTCTTCAAAATCCAATGATTGTCATTTTATACGCACCAAAACTAAAAATTTAAATATTCTTTTTTTCTATACGTTTTGATCCCGGCAATAATCCAGTTAAATCATAAAAACCTAAAATATATTCTAGCTGTTCAAACTCGTAATATAAGGCTTCCTCGAGCTCGTTCCTATGACGACTGACAACGCGGAGAGTGAAATATTTGCAGCAAATGTATAGACCTATATTAGTTATACTCTATACACTAGTAATATACTCCTGCAAACGTCCAATGATTTTTATTGTTCTAAATCGAGGAAAATGATTTTGGTTTGTTCGCCTCTTATACTTCTTTATGTGAATATAGATAAATACAAGTGTGTACAAACATGATTTTTTTTTATCATGTAGGCATAAAAGTTTAGAGTATGTTGTCTTATAAGGAATCGAAGCAACTTATTTCAATACATTCATGGTACAGGACTAAATGGCGTACATTGCTTTAAACTGGTATGTTATCGAACATCAAGAGGCCCAATATCTGACAAATAAGCAAGGCCGTGTTAACACTCCAGAATGCGTAAAGTTCGTCCCGCCATCCATTCAAAATTCTTGGTCTTATCCAAGAATAAAAGTAGACGTCGGGATCCATCCCTGATATATAGGGCCGCATTTCCACCGAGTTTACGCCTCGAACACTCTCCTCATATTTGATAAGAGCCCTCCAAAAACCTTTGTTTGGGAATATAATTTCCCGACATTGAAAAACATGCTGATGTGCGTCTTTAAGGGACATTTGCTTTGTCTTGATGAGGTAGGCTATACATACTGTGGCTGATCTACTGATTCCCGCCACACAGTGCACAAGGATCCGCCCACCATTTTTCTGTATATCGTCAACCAATCGAACACAATCTTCTAACACGGAAAAGATATCCTCGTCCAAGCTGTCTCGAAGGTTAAGTCTGTGAATATGTAAATCTGGCAGAGGATATACAAAGTCACGGAGTTCAGTGGCCATATTAACGACATGAGTGATACTCGCGGTTTGTAAATTTTCAGAGGTTATTCCACCAACTCCTGACAGAAAAAGGTCCTCCGTAATTTCTGATAAAGCACCATTTGTCTACAAAACACGAAATTCGTCTACAAATCAGGAACGGGGTATCCCATACACTGGGAGTATAGAGAGAATTCTCATCATGCATGGTGAGGGGAGGCCTGTGGACTGGGTCATTCCTAGCTGTTATAATGTAGCCCTCTCCAATTTTTTTTAAAAATCTATATGTTACGCCCCTAGAATTTTAAGTATCACATTTTCTAGTACACAGGACGAAACTATGCCATTCAGTTAATTGAAGGCGACTATAAAAGGCAGAGCTCTGTTATTCAGCCACATTTCAATTAATCATATTCAGTCGACTGAATCAGTTAATGTCGAATGGCATACTTTCATCCTGTGGTAATATTATTGGCGTTGTCTTGAAGCTGAAACCCACACCCCACAAAGAAACAAACAAATAAACAAAGTAAGAGTGAATAATTATAATGAGAGAGAGAGAGAGATCAGAGAAAATATGAAATTTTGAATTTACTTATTATTTTGTTTTTATTTTTAGGAAATGTCGTACCGGTAATTTACTGAACGAGTTGAAATTCGACTCATTTAAAAACGCGATTCCTCCCTTATAACCCCCTAGTCCTCCTTCCCGTTTTCTACGTACATGTACATACAGGTATTTTTACGACGTATCTTTAGTGACATGTAATATATCTATATAAAATGACTTCTTTAAATTGATTATGTGAAAATTACCTTTAAAAATAAAAAAAAAATTAAAAAAAAAATCGTAAGTATTATTCAACTTCTATATACAAACATTACTTAAAGTGCCACTGGCATTTATACTCGTATTAAACGGTACCTGTGTTAAATTGATCTTTTATATTCTTTCAGCGATTTCAAAAGAGCATTCCTTTGACTTTAATGTTTGATCTAACATTTTCTGGTTGAGGACTGGCATTCAATATCAATATCATTATATCTCTGTTGGGTTCAAACACTTTTTGTATATCATGCATTGCATGTTAATTGACCGGGGATTCAACAATTTTTTCATAAGACGGACCCATCATCGTACGATAATCTACTCATGTATGCATTAAAAAAAAAAAAAAAAAAAAAAAAAAACTTTTTAAACTTTCTTTTGCATGTTTTGCATGATTAAAGAAATGCACATACATGAATTTTTCAATATGAATATTTTCAAGATTACGTTACTGAGAAATTCTAGCTATATACACAGATTTTAGATCAATTATCGGCCGAGAGCCAGAGAGGGGAGGGGGGGGAAGAGACTCAGAGAGAGAGAGAGAGAGAGAGAGAGAGAGAGAGAGAGAGAGAGCATTCTTTAAAAGACATGCCAGACTTATTAAAAGTAAACCATATTTTCAAGATTACACTACTGAGAAATTCTAGCTTTCTGCATAGATTTTAGATCAACTATCGACCGAGAGACAGAGAGAGAGCGGGTAAGCGAGAGAAGAGGGGGGGGGGTAGCGTGGGAGAGAGAGAGAGAGAATATGAATGAGACACGTCACACTCAATGAAAGTAAAACTTCATCCATATCATACTGGGTATTTGCAGATTTGTAACTAGTACTTACTTTTTGTTGTTTCTTTTGAAGGTTTAACAGAATATTTTGCATCTTCCTGTGACAGTGTTATAAACCATTAATAAACTGTTAAATGTCAAATGACACAACGTTATGCAAAACTAGGAAGGATCTAGACTCTTGTGTCTTGCGTCAAGCACTATATATCGTTCAGTACGCGTAGGTTTGTCTCTGACACAAGGACTAGCAGTGATGATATATTAACTGAAAGCAATTTTTTTCTTAATTATTCCGTGAACATTTACAGCACACACCGATGAAAGCTATTTATTTACTAAACTGGTTCCTTTTTATTTGCTGCGGATCTGAATGTGACGCAAGCGATCCCTGACAACGAAAAACAAAAAGATATTCTCTGGTCATATTGTTGTTTGTAAAACTGTTTGTCTATTTGCCTTGAGATAATTATGCACCCCTTTAACGTCTTGATTCTTTATTTGAATTAATATTTTGGAAATATTTTTCTTTATAAAATCCTTATCCATTGATTTCTTTTACTGGTATTAGCTTCCCCCTATTCAAGGTGCGTTTGTTTTCCATCAACACTACACTACTTTACAAGAATTCACCAGTGTTTGCTGTGCAAACGTAATTTTAATTGCATTAGTTTACTTCGTATTTAATAAATTTTGACCATATTTTTTATTTTATTGAAATAGAAATAAAAACTTGAAAAAACATTTGTGCCGAGTTAAAACATTAAATCGAGTGCGCCATAGATTTGACAGAGCGTGAAGCATCACAGAACAATAGCAGCTGACAGGTGCGCGCAGTCATGGAAGGTAGAGGGAATTTCGCGGAATGTCAACATTCAGAATGTATTCGTTTGAGTAAAGGAACTCTTCTGTAGAAGTGTGAATCAAAGAGGAACGCCATTGTTTTCTAATCTTAGGTAAAATACAGAGTACCAGAGGAATCGGTCAATGTTTTGATCAGCTGTTTTTATATCACAATGGCCAGTTAACCATAAAAATTCATCTGTTTGCTCTCTTTTGAAACATTTTGTGCTGATAGTTGTGGTATTAATGGGAGATACTATTGAACTAATGCACGAATCTATATAATATGTGTTAGTTCTATTATAAAGTATGTAAGTTTACCAAAAAAAAAAAAAAAAATCTAATATACCATACTCTGATCATGTGATTTCAAATAATCTGTAGAATACAACCTTCTCTTTAATATTGGAAAGTACTGTAAACCAGGCATATAACTCCATATCAAGTATGATTGTTACTGTAATTCTATGGCAATGAATACGATTACAGTTGAATTTCGGTATCACGAATATTGGATATCTTGAATACCATGGATATGTCAAAGTGATTGGGAAGTCCTAACCACATATTTCTTATGTATTTTACCCTTGATATCTCAAACCCTCAGATATCTCGAAGTTTTTTCTCGGTCCCATCGAGTTCGAGATAACGAGGTTTGACTGTATTTAAAAAAATAAAATTGACTCCACCTGCTGTGTTGAGCCACCAATGATAAATGAGATTCATTTAATGATAAATGAGATTCATTTAAGGTCAGACCTCAAACTAGACAGAACTGATTAAAAACTTTGAGATTATATATATGGAATTCTGAATGAAATTTTTTGACTCATACTCTTAAATTAGTCTAAACCAAAGGTCCACTTTGTTAATGCATGGTTTTCAACATACAAGTGTTAAAAAATACAGAACTAGAATTTTATAATTTTATTCCACATACTTTGTTCCATGTAGGATCAATTCATACTATGTATATGGTCAAAACTTTCTTCGGAAATTTATCACAGCCTAAGTGCATTGAAGGTTTAGTTTTACAAACAATGACAATCAAAGAAATCTACATAATTTTCAACACCTATATTGATCAGAAATAGCGATTCCGCAAAATTATGACTCCATAGAAAAGAGTATGTTTACAGTATCCAGATCTTGTTGTTGATAAATAGATTGTTTTCTTTATTTATTTTTACCTTTCTCAGGGCTGGCATATGACAGTAGACCATGGCTGGAGGTGTGTTTCACGTAGAATTCGGAATTAACGACACGGTGCTGACGCGAGCTCTTGAGAACAGGAAGTACTCGGTGGCAGAGACTATAATTAGGGAGAACACCAATCCGTCCTATCTGGATGAAGGTAGCACTTGAAGTACATGTTGAATACCAGCAGTAATATTGTCAAAATTTAATACTTGTTTTTAACATAATGAAATGTTTAATATAATTTACAAGATTAAGGTAACACCTGTAATTAATATCAGATCTTTGTTAGATTCTTTGTGTAGTTATCTATCATGAGGGAAGTATGTATAGAACAGTTATAAATTGCAACTCATAAATTTACATCACCACTGTCAATGTATCATTGGTATCCTGTAGATTTTTTTTTTTATCTTTTTCAAACAATTTGATTTTGTTTAAGGCTTGTAAAAGAAAATTCCCTCCTCCCATTTTTATTTCAATTCTTTTTTGATTCTGTTACATGTACTGTATAGACTGTTAAGAGAGAAATTCCTTGCTTATATAGCTCTGATTTACTACAGGCTTTTACCAGAGAACCCCCCTGTTTATGTGTCTCTGTTCTATTACAGGCTGTTACCATTGACCCCCACCACTTAATATGTCTCTGTTGTATTACAGGCTGTTACCAGAGAACCCCCCTGTTTATGTGTCTCTGTTCTATTACAGGCTGTTACCATTGACCCCCACCACTTAATATGTCTCTGTTGTATTACAGGCTGTTACCAGAGAACCCCCCTGTTAATGTGTCTCTGTTCCATTACAGGCTGTTACCATTGACCCCCACCACTTAATATGTCTCTGTTCTATTACAGGCTGTTACCATTGACCCCCACCACTTAATATGTCTCTGTTGTATTACAGGCTGTTACCAGAGAACCCCCCTGTTAATGTGTCTCTGTTCCATTACAGGCTGTTACCATTGACCCCCACCACTTAATATGTCTCTGTTCTATTACAGGCTGTTACCATTGACCCCCACCACTTAATATGTCTCTGTTGTATTACAGGCTGTTACCAGAGAACCCCCCTGTTTATATGTCTGTTCTATTACAGGCTGTTACCATTGACCCCCACCACTTAATATGTCTCTGTTGTATTACAGGCTGTTACCAGAGAACCCCCCTGTTTATATGTCTGTTCTATTACAGGCTGTTACCATTGACCCCCACCACTTAATATGTCTCTGTTGTATTACAGGCTGTTACCAGAGAACCCCCCTGTTTATATGTCTGTTCTATTACAGGCTGTTACCATTGACCCCCACCACTTAATATGTCTCTGTTGTATTACAGGCTGTTACCAGAGAACCCCCCTGTTTATATGTCTCTGTGGTATAGATGAAGAACAGCAAACAGTTCGGCCGAGGAATCTATACTTAGCCAGGCTTCTGGTGGAAAATGGTGCTAATGTCAACTATAGGGTGCCCATGGTAATGATTTCTTTAACAGCTCAATGACAATCAATTTTCATTTTTCAGAATTGTTTTAAAATTTATAAATTACATTTGATTATTAGATCAACTTTGTATTTCTATTCTATGCATCATCAGCCAGCATTACTAGAAATTTCAAGTAGCTAAATATGATGTATTGAGGTTGCTTGACTAAAATAATTAAATAATCAAGAACAAGTTTTTTCATTTTACTTTTAGACATTTGGGTCGGAGTATGAGGGTCCCGGTAAGAGTCCGTTAGAGCTACTGACCGACTTCTACAACGATCTAACCAAACTGGTCCATCCACACAGCAAGGAACTCTGGTAAGCACAATTAATATCAATCAACAGACAATATTGTATCAAATTGGATACAAGTTTAACCTGAGAAATAATTCTTTAATTTTAAGATGAATTTTTTTTTGAGTAACCAAGTAAGTAGAAATAGAAGTTTTTCCTCTACAAGTCCTATTAGGACTTTGCTTATTTTACTTTTTCATTGAGCAAAATTGAGTCTGCACTACCAACGGAAGCTAGCATATTTATAGTATTAATTATAGACATGGCTTTCAGTTTTTCTTACTTAGAAGAAATCTTTTTTCATGGGAAATTTCTACTATTCGATGTCTCATTTAAACTTAGACATTGAAATTCTTTTGCCTTGAAACTTTTGAAAACTTAATTAAATTTGATATACCAAATATATCTTGGTCAAATATTCAGATATCTGTGATTCTATTTTATGTAAACAGCAAAATCCCATAGAAATTGGATAGTTAAACACAGAAATTACCCATTCAAGTGTAATGAATAAATGTAACATTGGTGTCCATTTTTTTCCCTCAGGAGTGCCCACCACAGTCAGTGGGACCTACAGAGTGATGTCGTTATTGGACTCAACAAACAGTACCTCACCACTCCTGAGGAGGTGACTCAGCATGTGGAAGATCTCATTTTCATCATCATCAGTAAGTCTTCATCATCATAAAGTCGTCATCATTATCAGATAGTCATCATCATCATCAGTAAGTCATTAGCATTAGTACATTGTCATCATCATCAGTAAGTCATTAGCATTAGTACATTGTCATCATCATCAGTAAGTCATCTTCATTATCATCAGTAATTCATCTTCATCAGTAAATCATCATCATCATTATCAGTAAGTCATCATTTTCATCATCATCATCATCATCAGTAAGTCATCTTCATTATCATCAGAAAGTCAGCTTCATAGTCATCAGTAAGTCATCATCATCATCAGTAAGTCATATTCATTATTATCAGTAAGTCATCTTCATTATCATCAGTTAGTCATCATCATCATCAGTAAATCATCATCATCATCAGTAAATCATTTTCATTATCATCAGAAAGTCAGCTTCATATTCATCTGTAAGTCATCATCATCACTATCATCATTATCAGTAAGTCATCATCATCATCATTAGTAAGTCATGTTATCATCAGTAAGTCATCTTCATTATCATCAGTAAATCATCTTAATATTCATCAGTAAGTCATCATCATCAGCAGTAAGTCATCATCAGCAGAAGGTCATCATCATCACTAAATCTTTTTAATCATCATAAATAAGTTATCTTTTTTCATCATTTGTAAGTCATCTTCATTTGTCTTGAGGAAGGTATCTTTATTGTCATCACCAGTGAGTCATCTTCATTGCTGTCATCAATTAATCATCATCAATATCTTCTTTTTCATCAACACAAAAACATCATCATAGTCATCACGATTGTCACTTGATTATCTCTGACTCATGATGAAGATAATCTTATTGTCATTTCTTGATACTTTTGTATCAGCTTTTCCATATCATTGCTAACATTCAATTGAGTGATTTATTAGAAGAGTTTTAAAGGTTTGATAACACACTCTATTTGAATTAAAAGTTAGAAAAGTTGAAAAGGATTCAAATTTTCAACAAAAATACAGTATTGATGGGAGCTCTGTCTTTCTACTGAATACATAAAACAATTATAACATTGGTGAGTTAAGTTGTCTTATTATCTTGTTGAATTATCTAGGTCATGGAGGGGACATCAATATCTGTGATGAGACAAAGATGACCCCGCTGCACCGCACTGCTATGTCATCTATCGACACTCATCTGTTTAAGCTCCTGTGTGACAATGGAGCTAACATAAATGCTGTGGATGGTCGGGGAAACTCACCACTGCTTGCAATGTGTGACGTTGTAGGGACAGATGATTACGATTTTTTTGAGGACTGGTCAACAACGAGTGATGACACGTATGAGGATAGCAGTGCCACCTTGTGTGTACAACATGATTTCCTGGATTATATGTTGTCACTGAAAAACATTCAGGTACTCAGAAAAATAGAAACTAACTTCAGGTGATATTGGTTGTTGAAGGTAATCCAACATTTATTGTGCAAGTTTTACAATATTCTATAACTTCAAAAATTTATTGCTGTGAACCATTTATATAATGTAATTGTATATTTATACTGACTGTTCACTCAGTCAAGAAAACTGATAGTTGCAGATGGATTTCAAACTAACAAATCAAGTAAAAGTTGTCATGAATATTAGTTGGTGCACAGTAATGAAAGTTGGTTTATAGTAAATATCAATACTGCTGGAGTCTTAATACACAATTTTATGATGTGGAAAGCAACATTTTTGAACGATTATCTTAAAATTGAAAAAAAAAAATATGTAATCTATCAAAAAATCTTTGTGGAGGCCAAAGAAAAATTCTTTGGAGAAAATAAAAATTAAATGATTAAATGACAGAGTACTGTGAGAGGTAAAATATTGATGGCCAGATATGATTTTTCCTTCATTTAGTTTCTTGACATTATGAAGAAATGCATCAACGTATTTTATGGTCTAAAGTGTAAGGTAATCTGATCAATTTTCTAGGTAAACATAAGTAATAACCGTGGTCAGACAGCTCTGTTTCACTGTGTCCTGAGGGGGGATGTGCTGGCCTGTCAAAAACTGCTAAAGGCAGGGGCGGATCCATCAATTAGAGGAACGGTGTGGGAAACCAGGAAACGCAAGAGGTGGGAAAAAATAAGTTTTCTTCAATAAGTTGCTTAGGGTTTTAAACTTATGTGTATGTACATATAGACAATTACATGAAATGTATAATGTACAATTTAGTGCAAATACGATAGCTTATTTCCAAATTTTCATGATAGATTTACAGAACTAGTATATGCATGTATGAAAAATTTAGTTCAGTTATATTGTAGATAAGATCTTTTGCAATCTTTTTCTTTAACTTGGTGCTTAGATATCACTCAGGATTCATATTATGTAATTGTTCTTTTCATATTTCAGGAAACTGTCTCCGATTTTTGTGTCATTTTTATCCATTCCTCTCCAAAGAGCACTTGGCTTCCAGAACACATATCACCTACTGGCTGGCGCTCCTCAACAGTACGCTCACTTAGTGGACGCAGGTAAGAAAGTACTTATCATTGAACACATATCATCTACTGGCCAGCGCTCCTCAACAGTACACTCACTTAGTGGACGCAGGTAAGAAAGTACTTATCATTGAACACATATCATCTACTAGCCATGCAGCGCTCCTCAACAGTACGCTCACTCAGAGGATAAAAAATTACTTATCATTGGGCATAATGTATATTGTACATACATGTATTGATTTGTCCAACTACAAGTACTTATTCAAATATTGATAGATTAATGGCATGAATTCAAAATTATTAAGAAGTTTTTTTTGTGTGAAAATAATGTAAATGGTACTAAACAACCTTTGGGTCAAAGAAACCTGTTGCAGTTCTACAGCTGAGCATTTGGTACAATGTATTAGAATTGTCTCTAGAGAGAGGGAGTGGGGAACATCTGTAGCATTATGTAGGTCATTTATATAATTTAATGTAAATGTTACTTTTAACAGGTTACTTCAACAGGAAAGAGATCACAGAGGAAGTGAAAGAACTGCTAGACAACGAATTTCCAGAATTTGAACACTTAAAAATAGTTTCTGACAAATTAGTGAGAATGATGTGTGGTCGAACCACAGCTGGACTAAGACAACTCGCAACACGGACAATCTTTAAACAAGTCTTCCTTCAAAGTACCAAATCTCTGGGAAAACTCCTGCCATCGACTTCAATAAAATCCTGTCTCAAGAATGCTGATCTCCGTCAGATGGATGTTTATGATGAGTACATCAATCTGGTTCTGAACCGGACAGTACTTCAGGCTCTGGTTGTTCGGCTGGGACTTCCCGGTGATTCTCTGGTGAACTTTGAGGTGGAGCTCTTCCTCCACCAGATGGCAAGTCGGTTCTCCGGATTTAAGGTGGTTCCCCCCGAGAGTCCGTACAGTGGTGAGAGTGGAGAGAGTTCTGTGTCAGATGACAGCGATTTGACCAGTAGCCAGGACGAGGGGGATTCTGACCTTGAGTATTGGTAACCAAGAGTAATGTCCCTTCTGTATTTGTTCAGAAATGATAATTATACACATATTTCAAGAGCTACTGTGGCCATATATTTGAGTGTTAGGTAGTGTGCACATATATTATTCTCATATTTTTGCTTTATCTAGAATTTTGCTCTAAATAGTTCATGAGGAGTACATGATACTAAGTAACATTTAATTCTATGTAGTGTTTTTGACATAAACCGTTTGTGCTAAAGTAAACACTGCTTATTTCTAGATGGATCAATTTATATACATGAACAAAGTGACAACTAACACAAGCATTGTCAGTGCTTTCTTACCCAAACATTCATAAATGCCATGATTTCACATTTTTATCTGTACAGTTGCTATTTGATTGCTGTAATGTATTATATAATCAGAAATATTTGTTAGTGTGAGCTTTAAATCTTTGATGTATTATTTGATTATGACTTTAAATGTTGTGTAGAGTTATGGCCCTTTAATTGTAACAGTTTGTTTGAATGCCAGACATTTTCATTTTTGTTTATTCCCATATTTGTTAAGATGAGTGATTCTGTAATTTGTTTTATATATATTAGCATTTAAGAATGATAAACGTAATGTTTTATACAACAGTGTGGCTCAAAAAAGAGGTCCCCCCTTTTTATGTGTATATGCACATATATTATTATGTTCTCTAAAGTATTTTGTTTTTCCTGGCCTGTTGTGCTGAACATCTCTCATTTTTATCTGTCCATCGTTCTGCACTTGGTTTTTTTGTGGATGGTAATCAGGTTTTAGAGTCTATATTAGATATACAGTAATCCTTGTTCAAACAATATATGTATAATCATTTTGTACATATAATAGGAATTTTTTGAACTACTTCATCAGACTTAGACTGGAATGACATTTTCTGATGTTTTTAAATTCTACTTGTGCTTCACCTAGTAAAGAAACAATATATTCACATACATTGCATAGACTTAAAAAATATTGCCCATGTAAGATGATGCATGTACAAGGTTTTTTTTTCTTCTATGTTGCACTGTATGACTATGTACAGTGGCGGATCATATTATTTCAGTGAAACCTGTCTAATCCGAAATGCAATGGGAGACTAAAGTTTTTGCTGAACAAACAGGGTGTTGGATTATACAGTGTAAAGAACATGAAAAATAGTAAAATGGGAATGAAAATATTTGTTGAAGTTCATAGAGAAATGGATTGCACAGGTTTCAGACTAGACAGTTTTCACTGTACAAACAAAATGATATATGTAGCTCAATTGAAGTTTAATTTTGCACAGGTCTTACTAATTAGTATCATAAACCAAAAAAGATCAACATTCCATAAAACATCATTGTTAATTTTATTTCATTAAATGTTTAGAACTGTCCTTAAGATCTGAGCTAAGAACCAGCTATGAAGTATGTTACAATGCTGAGATTCGCATTGTCTCTATTTACTGTATACTTGTATGTTCACTGTAATATGACTGCTCATTTTATGGAATTCTTAAACAAATCCATAAAGCTATGTAGCAAGGTACATTTAGGTATCTGTTATGTGTGAGAAATGTATTTAAAATGCTTTCATTTTTTAGGCTAGATTATGAATCAGTTTATCTGCTCTTTATATGGAAATTTTTCTCCCAGTCTGTACATGTATATTAATCCACAATATAACTGCTTCTTTATTGTGTCACTGTTCATTGGATAACTCCCAAACTTTGCATGTCAACAACAAAAGAAAAGTTAGGAATTGTATCCTTTTGGATGACCTTGGCCTTAATATTTGACCTTGAGAAAAAAAATCTTTGTTGAAAAAAAAATCTGCAAGATAAATATAAAATTTCATAGAGATAAATTAAGAAAAGGTTTAACAGCTGGTTAAAATTAAAAATAACCTTCATTCCATTCAGTATCTTTTGATTTTAATAAACTTGGGATAAAAGCATGTTTCATTGTAATCAGTTACTACTATTCTAAATCGTTTTTCATGTTGTATAACATCGATATTTTAATCCTCAAGTAAACATTATTTTTAATATTCAGTCTTTTTCATAACCAAGAATATGATTTTTAATTTGATCTCCACTTTAAAATATGAAAAATATGTGTACCCATTTGCCATGTGTTTCAGAAATTGTTCAGACTTCTACAGTATTAAAATATAACATAAACTATCCACACATCTGCACAATCCAACAGGAATTCGATATATTAGTTTATACTTTATATTTTTTATTCAAATCAAAATACATTTAAAAAAAAAAGAATTTGACATAGATCTTCTGTAACAAATCTATCATTAATAAGTATAAATTACTGGTATGATAAAATAATTTTTTCAAAGCAGCTTAGCTGAGCAAATATTATCCCCCCTTTTTTAATTACCCTTTTAATGCTGGTTTTGTTTTTCCCGCTCTTATGTAGATGTTTGTTGTTTTTGTTTTACACTTTTGAATCTAGACATATCAACTTCACAGTCTGACAAATGACAAACTTTGTTATATTTTGTTTACTTTTATTCCAAATGTAATTTTGTGCTAAGTAAATAATGATTTCAAGTTATTGTTTTGTTTTTCATACTACAAGTTCTAAAACAAAATATCAAAGCATATAATAAATGTTAACACAGTTACCATAAAAACCACAACTTGTGGATGGAAATTTCCTTATAAATTCAATACAAGTACAGTAAAATTTATTTAGTATGAATGGTGATGGGCAATCAGATTTTTTTTCATAGTTGATTATCCGAATAATCGGATGCACTATAATTGATTGATTTCAAATATAAAATTTGTTGAGTTTTGAATGAAGAAAAACTTGGTAAAAAATTCATTGATGATTTCTAAAATGTACTTTTGATGTATTTTGAATCATTGGATTCATTTATTAAATTATTACTTTGGATTTAGTTACATTCAAAGAAGAATGAATACAGAAATCATACTAGGAATAATTTGCTTTTATTTAATAGATTGATTCATTATCAAAATTATAATCAATTATCTATAATCGGGGGCCATTTTGATTAGCTAATCAATTAATTGGTACACCAAGTAGGAACATTGATATTGCAAATTTACAGTTCCTTGTGAAATTTTACAGCTACAGTTGAACTTCGGTATCTCGTACATGGACATCTCGAATACCATGGATATGTCAAAGTGATTAGGTAGTCCTAACCACTTATTTTTTTAAGTTTTTTTTACCCTCAATGTCTCAAACCCCCGAATATCTCAAAGTTTTGTTTCAGTCCCTGCGAGTTCGAGATAAACAGGTTTGACTGTATAACAAACTTGAGTTATAATGAATTTATGGATATAAAGGTATTGATTTTTTATCCTGTTGAGGTAAAAAATAATGAAGTTTACATCTTTTCCAAATTTTTGAATTCAAAAACCATTGTTTACATTCTAGAATTTTTAGCTGCAGGGCACATGATGTGGTGAAAAAATGGTTAACAGTGATGTTTTTGGTAAAACAATTTTATTTGACATTACAAACAACATTACATAACATTCACAATCTTCAGAACTTTGTTCTAGCAATTAAAAATGTTTTGTACAAGATATAGTTTGCAGGTCACAGTTAGAAATAATGTCTTTACAATGATCAGAACGAAAGATGCACCAATTTACTTAGAGATACAATCAGAATGAAAGATGCACCAATTTACTTAGAGATACAAACAACTGCAACTTACATAAGGGGAGCACTGCTTGAACTAGGACTTGCATAATTTTGTACATATAAAATATTATTTTATGTAATTTAGAACAAATCTCTGTCAGATACAAGATTGCCTACCTCATGTTGTCTACAAATATATATTATGAATGTACCTATAAAGCCTTAAAATTATAGATTCTTTAATCACAATCAAAACAATGTTTACATTTTATAATTGACCAAGATTTAAATCAAGGTAAATTTTTTTTTAATGTGTCAAGAGCAGTATAAATCAAGTTCTCTTTACTGACATGAAAGATTAAAGAAAAATCATATTACTTTTTGAGAATCATTCATACAAAAACAGGGTTCTCCATCATTTCAAATTTAACTGTGGTGCAAGACTTATGCGAAGTGCTAATATTTTCGTTCAATTTGCGACCGAATTCGCGAAGGAAGCACGAAATTAAAAATTAAAAACACACAACCCCAATGAATCAATAGTTTAATATACAAATGATATTTATTATTTGGCATTATTATTATTATTAAATTTAATAATAAATGTAATTAAACGATATCGATTAAACATAGTGTAAAACAAAAATTAGGATGTTCCCAAAATTTATAATGCATACTGTGAAAAAGCCCCCCCCCCCTTTCCAAACACATACGTACTTATAAATAAACAAATATTACCTTATAAATCTGAAAATAAAAGTACCAGTAACAACAAGCTCAAAGCATTAAACCCTCTTTAAAAAAAGTTTACAGAAGTAAATTATATAGTGTTCATTAGAGAACAGAGGAAATTCTGGTAAGTTACACAATCACTCTAACATCTATATAAATTTGCAATTCTCAGTCTGAAGACTGAAATATCTTAAAATTTGTGAATTAAAAAATACTTAAGCAGCAGTTCAGAGTCATAAAATAATATTTTGTTGGATCTCTCGTTAATTTTTCAACATTGCAAAAATACATATTACGATAAACGTGCGATGTTTGACACACAGACGTGGTTATCTGTAGAAGTATTGAAACATAAGTTAATTAATATTCAAAAATTTCATTTACAATTAACGTGAAATGTGTGGAAAAAATGGCTTGTTTCTTTTCATTCAAGTGTCCAGCGAGGTCTAGAAGATAATTGCTTGTGCAAGCCAAACAATGGGCCCTAATTAGAGTAAATTAACGGTTTAGCATTAGAAACTGAAAAACGGTACATAATTTGAAGGATTATTTGGTTTATAAATTTATATAGCTATCTTACTGACGAGGACGATCTTACTGTGGCGCTAATATTTTAACTGTGGCGGAACTATGGCGCTGATTTTTTAACTGTGGCGCAAAGGAATTTAACTATGGCGGGGCCGCCACGTTCAACGGCCCATGGAGAACCCCGAAAAAAAACCTGAATTATGAATCGTAAAACAACCATTACTCCAAAATCAGATCAATTTATTTACATAAAATGTAATTACCCGGAATGCAATACAATAATATTCTGAGCTGTAGACCTATACGCATTTGCATGTGGTAGTTATTCACACAAGGCTTTGGAAATTTAATACTGTAGATCACCCAATTTTCAAACCACCACCTTATTTTTGCAAGAAAGTCATACAGTATTTTTTTATTGAGACAAACTTGTAATAAATTCAGCTTATCATGCTTATTGTTTAATCCTTCATAATAAAACATATGCGAAAATGAAATTTTTGCAAGAAGACAGTCTCACCTAATTACGCGAAAATAAAGTTCTTGGGAATAAAAAGTGATTTACAGTAGAAGATATCTATTTTTACACATTTATATTATACCATTAAGACAATGCATCAGCCTTCCATTATGGTACAATTTACATTTTCTTGAACATTGTTGAAATGCCTTTACATAAATGTACATTGTACATGTACACAGGCCTTAAACTGACAACAACACACACATAATACCCCACCCACATTCAGGTCCTTCATTTCTCCATAACATTTGGCATACATGTATAAGAAGGTCACACATGCACTGCACTTGACATACATCCAAAATCTTATGCACTAATTAGTTAATGATTTTTACACATATGCCTTTTCTGTATCTTACCCTCATGTTAGCACTTTACAAACCACTTTACAAACCAAACACAATCCATCCCTAATCTTACACTAGTATTGATCAAGCTGAAGTGTAAGCATAGAAATAACATATCTTTATTCCCTATATTTATCTACATCAGGCACTCCTTGAATGACTCTCGCTCTCTTAGTATCCATCTGTGATAGCTGTGGGTAAGTATCCATGATCTTTGTCATAAATTCTTTGATTCTCGTCTCTATTTACACCTCAATTCCAACTCTCTCTCTAAATTCCTAGATCCACTCCATTTATTTACACTCTAGATCTTCCCACCAATACTACCTAAGTGAGGGTAGATTTATAGTTATGATGGACTCCGAGTCAGTTCCACATAAGAGAGTCTGTGATTCAATGTCTATGGAGTTTACAGGGAGAATGTTGTCGTCGATTAGAGAATTGATCTCCATTTTACTGTTGTCTGTACACAGCCACTTGTTAACTGTCTCACTTCCTCCAAACTGGAATGAGGGATTAACGGAGAAATTCGCTCCACCAGAACCAGCACCTGTCACATAGAACAATATTGTTATGACCTCCACTACTGTGTATGTGTGTTTTTTTTTATGTACTTAATAGGAATTTTTGCATTTTGGTATTCCTACTCATCACATATCATCAAATAGATACAAGAATCTTTTAAGGCATGCAAACATTCTCCAACTTCTTTAAAACATGCAAACACTTCTGATGTTTGTGTCATGTATTTTTAATATAATAAAAGCACAAGCAGCATATATGTTGTTTTTTTTTTGTTGTTGTTAATATTGCACTTTAAATCTAATATCTTTAACTACTTCTTGTATAACATTGAAAAAAAAACAACTCTGGAATTATCCGATTATTTTTTTGGATTCCTCACACCACATACTCCCCCAAAGCTTTACATGTTTGTCCAGAATCATCAGTTACACCAGAAAACCATTACATACCTGTACCTGTGAGTTGTGTTTGTACCATGTGACTAGAACCAACCAATGAGGAGTCCCAGTGCCACACAGCGCCATCTTCTGAGCAAGTGAACAGGTGGTCTGAGTTTGTCTTGTGGAATTTGACTTCCCACACTACAAGTATATAAGTATCAATCGTTAATGTATTAAATGTGCAGATGTAAAAAAAACAAGAGGCCCACAGGCCACAGTTTGTCATGCGAGTCACATTTCTCTTCCTGACAAAAAAAATATGCTAATAACTGAAAGACATTCACTCATAAAAGTTTTTTTTTAAGGATAATGATTTGCAAAAAGGAAATCTAAATTTTGATTAAAATTTGAACAATTTTAGCATACTTTGTTGTGCAACATTTGTCAGAAAATCATTTAACTTGACATTTATAAAGAGTAACAGTAACTTATCCATTTGAGTTACTCTCTTATCAGAGGGATTTACAGAACATTTAAATTTAAACTCTCCAAACTGCTACTCACTGGGACCACTGTGGGCCTCTAGGAGAGAGACGGGGGATCCCTCCTGTCTAAGATCCCAGATCCCCAGCACCCCATCACGACTTCCTGTGGCCACAATGTGGGGCTGTCCTGGGTGTCTGTCCACACAGTGCAAAGAGGTCAACTCCCCACTCCTAAAATAGTATGGATTCATTAACTCATGAGAAGATCACCTCAAAACACACAAAAGTTGTGTCTTAAGTGACATAATGTGATTTCATTATACAGATAGTCACATGCTATAGTTTCCTGTAGATGTACATGTATCATTATTTACTACTGTTGTAAATCTGTTTCACTTAAAAATTGCCAAACTATTTAGATAGTGAAATCCATCTGTAATCATGGTAATGTATAGTCTGGTTCTAACAATGAATGTTATTACACAGAATCATAAAAGAGAGGTCACCTTTACACCAATTAGTCTGTGTACTTACACTGAGAGGGTCTGTGAGGGGGCATCTGAATTCGATCGGAGGTCAAAGGTCTTCAGTTGCCCTGACGAGTTGACAGTTATGATTTCTGTGTGTTTCAGGAATATAACATTGTTGATAGTTGAACTGTCTGCTTTTTCTGAAGGAAAGAGAATCTTCGTTAAATTGATGCACTTTTTGAACAGCTTTGTTTGGTTAATATACATATTTATTACCTATGACTCGTTGAGGTGTCTTCTATTAGTTTTACTTACCTATGACTCATTGAGGTGACTTCTGTTTGTTTCACTAATTTATGACTCATTGAGGTGACGTTCTGTTAGTATTACATACCTATGACTCGTTGAGGTGACTTCTGTTAGTATTACATACCTATGACTCGATGAGGTGACTTCTGTTTGTTTTACTTACTTATGACTCGTTGAGGTGACTTCTATTAGTTTTACTTACCTATGACTCGTTGAGGTGACTTTTGTTCTGCATTAAGTATCACAAGTCTCCCATCTTCTCCTGAGGTGACTATAGTTTTATCTCGCACAGCTAGACATGTGCAGGGACATAAATGGTTGCCATGGTGATGAAGCTTCTCCCACTTATTTGTTATTCCTAATGTCTAAAACATTATACACAACAAATTAATCGTAGAATGAACTAAAAACTGAGCATTGGAGGATTAGGAGAAAAAAAATGGGCTAACACTAGTTTCCTCTTTCACGTTTAACTTTGATAGACTGTATAATTTAAAATGGTGTAGCATTATTATTTCTTCTCTTATACACTGTAATTGCAGCGTTCTTTCTTCCTTACACAACTGGTTCTGATAAACGCACAGGCGCTTGACGTTTTTAACCTTTCTTTCCATAAATAAAAAATCCCCCATACTATAATAATAACAAGGTTCGTCACAGTCGCCATCTTGAATTTTTCAGTTCAGCTACTCCGCCTCGATTTTTAGTCTACAATGTGTTTAAAATTAACGGATACAACCGTTTCCCTCAAGTACTTACTTTAACTATGCCTCCACTTTCGGGCAATTCAACTCAAATCACATTAAATCCTCTCTAATTCTTAAAATGTCGCTTCAAACTCAGTCTACTGCTACCGATTCCGTGAAACTTAGAAAAGGGAGGCCGGAAGTTGATGTTGTTATGTAAATGGGAATTCCCTCTACTTTAATTTCATTGGTTAAAAGAAATATGACGTTTCGCGGGAAAATTCATGCAAAGACAGTAACAAACTTTTTCGACATGTTGAATGCTGAGCAGGCCGATTGCTTTCCATAAACATCAGAAATAATATGTGAAACATTTTTTTTCTTTTATTTTGTTGAAGAAAAAATCAATTATTCTTGGTCCTGGAATTCTGGTTACTAATTTCTCATGTAAACCACAGACCCCTCGCATTCTGGCATAAATATTTCTTACTTATAATGGTACTATTTTCAGTGTTTGGAAGCGATGAAAATTATATACATTTATAATTCTATAAGACCTTTGAGAAATTAAGTTTAATTATCGTCAAATGGCTTGATCAAATAGTAAACTGGCGGATTTAGAGGGGGCAGGGGACCCGCCCCCTCTAATTGAAAGAAAAGCCAAATACCATGCTATTCCCTGCATGAATGTGATTGAAATATTTGTACAAGCCAGGACCCCCCCCCCCCCCCCCAATCAAGGCTTCGCCTAAGACCTACGGGTGGCCTCACAGATTATATTGCCATTCATTTATTTTTAAGGGAGGACAAATTGATTCCGGGGGGGGGGGGGGGGGGGGGGGGGCTGGGCTGGCAATTTTTTCCCAGCTTTATTTCCATGTCAGTGAAGGACAATTTAATTTATTTTCAAAATCTGCCAGACCCCCCCCCCCCCCCCCCCCTAAATTTCAGAATTAAATTGTAAACGCTTTTATGTTTTGACAATATAATTGAATTTTTATATGGATTTAAGCCCCCATTTACTCTCAGGTGTGTAACTACGCCTCTGTATGTAAAATACAGTGTATACTATTCAGCCTAAATATTTCAGTGTTTCTTAGATAGCAGTTGAAAAAGTACACAGTCTTAGGCTAAATATATATTTATTTGCAAACAGTTGGGGACTATAGATGTATCAATATATATTACTAAGTTATTTATAAAATACGTACCAGTAGTCTAGAACTGCTCAAGCTCCATTTTTAAATAACTCTCAAGATATCCACCAATCAGAAAAGGGCTTTCCCGGATTGTGACGTTCTAACATCAACTTCCGGCCTCCCTTTTCTAAATTTCTATTTTTTCCCAATTTTGAGACTAAAAATTCCCAATTAAACTGCCAAGGAACAGACTATGATGACATTGCAATTCTTTTCATATGAAACGTTGTATGAGTTATCTAAATGTTTCACTTCCTCTTAAATCGAAAGTAGAGATCAGTAGTAATATGGCGGTACGTCTGTGGTTATGTAGATAACATAGTCATGCTAGTGTCTTTTTTTGACAACTTGAAAGCATGACAATCAGTGTTTTCCCCAGAAAATTTTTAATGCATGGGGGGAATTTTGCTGAACTGACGGCGCGCGGCGTGTCTCGTTTGAGTTACTTATACTTTATATTTAAAATTAAAATACAAATGCATTTTTCATTTACATATAATTATATATTTTTAATTTAAATGATAAATATATTTTGAATAAATTTTCAATCTAACTTTAAAAAATTTAAACAATTGAGTTCTTTTTTGTAAAATAAATTTAATCATTAAAATTGCACCTATCTTATTTTCCTCTAAAGCCATTGTTGAATTTTTCAAATGTGTTGTGTTATTCTTTCTTTCAACAAACTGAGTATATGCCCCTAGTGACCCCCCCCCCCCTTATTAGTCCCCTACCGGTGAAACCGGAGGGGACTATAGGTTTCCTCTGAGTCTCTCCGTCCGTCTGTCTGTCTGTCCCTCTGTCTGTCTGTCAGTCTGTCCCACTTGGTTTTCTGCACTTTTTTCCTAAACGCTTGCAGATATTGAGCTGATTTTTTCTTGATAAGTTACAGATCAAGTTTGCATTCCGTTCCGCTTCATTGATTTTTGCCGGAATTACAGCCTTTTCAATTTTTAGTGGTTTTCCGCAATTTTCTTCTAAATGCTTTCAGATATTGAGCTGATTTTTGGTATGTGACTTTACCTTAATTAGTTATAGATCAAGTTTGCATTTCGTCCCGCTTCATTGATTTTTGACGGAATTGTGGCATTTTCAATTCTTAACGGGAACCAGATTACACTTGCCGGTAGGGGACTAGTATTGCTAATGCAATACTTGTTTTAATTTACTTTATTTTTTGGATGTTCCTACTTTTAAAGTTATCTATAAACAAAAAGGGTGCACATTATGTAGCACCAATGCTTACATGTAAATATTGTAACAATATATTAATATTGGTGTCTGATTTTTTTTCAACGTAAGCTGTTGAAATGTAGGTCATTGTGAAATTGTGTATTAAAGCACGTGCGCTTGAACAAAGTACTTGCCCATAGTTCACAGAGTAAATAATCATTGATAATGTTTTGAATATGTTTTATCTAAGCATGTTTATCATGTTTATGCTAAATAATAGCTTAAAAATTATGTGTTTAACTAAAGAATCATTTTTGATGTCGGAACATCAATACTATTTATAGAATGACCTGAGAATGTTGGAAAAACCCACATGTGCATTAACAAGTGTATTACTTTCACCGTGTGTACATCTGAGAGCAACTAATTATTTTTTCCTGGTTATAAATATATTTTTAATCAAATAATAGCTTAATACTTAGTAGCATACCAGTAATAAACATAACTTGACAGCTATTGCATCATACCGCATACCGTGATTCACATCGAGTTCACCACAGGTGCGAAACATGTGTACAGTACACGCTAGGATTCTAGAGATTTGAATTGTTTTACTAATAACTGATAACATTTAAAGTAAATCATCTTCTTAAAAATGGTAAACCATTAATTTTCCATGCATAGCGGGAAGCATAGCAGCAATGTGTGAAGCATGGCGGGAGATCGTGAATGCGGTACCGCCATGCAAAAACGGCCTGGGGAAAACACTGACAATGTGAGAACAGGGGCATTAATGTGTATAATGTATACAGTCAAACCAACATTGAATACTTGTTGATTATTCTTTAAACAATTCAAGTGTGGATTTAGAGGTAATGAGGTAAGAATATATGCAATTGAAAATAAATTTTGTTTGTTGACATGACAGAAAATTCCCCTTTGTTCTTTTTCGACACTATTTTTTCCAGTTGAATCTGTACCAGACCCCTTCCCAATGGGTAGGGAAAAAAAAATCACCGATTTGGTCAAAAGTTTAGTGGAGCTGAGCTTCATTTTTGACGTCTTCTTTTCTAAAGCTAGAACTGAATCTGTGTCCTCAAGCTCAAAGTGATTTCTGCATGAAAACACAAAGCTGTCAATTGTGTACTTTTTGTTTTAATACAAACCTGAGAGGCAGTGTGGTATTTGTATAAAGTCACTGTCCCTGTTGACGAAGAGGCCACTATCTCATCAGATCCAATATACTGAAAAACAAAAGACGCCTCAATCACATCTCATCCATCATGTATAATATATATAACAGGATTACATTAATGCTGGTATTGTGCCTTGTCAATTCCACAGGTGCACCCAAGGTCCAAGGATATTTTTATTTGTCTTATTTCATAAACTATTCTTCAAGCACACATTTACAATGTATTCCATTTGCAAATTCCAAAAATAACGAAGAATAGTTGTCTTAATTATTTTTTAAAAAAAATACCTGCAGTATCATAGAATACAGAAGGTTAATCACTTTAGTTTGTTTATATTGGACCCATCTCAGATATCATATCAGGCCTAAAATATCATTTACCTACTTCATCAGACATGTCATCAAAATGTGTCATCTGATCTTGTTTCGGTAGATATTTTTGTCTTAATTGTTCTATTTAATTGTCCATACATTTCAATATAATCCGAATATTTGTTGTTACAAGTGAAAAATACTACAAAATTTGGAAATGTGAGAGCAGATATTATGAAAGTGATAAGAAAAAACACCTAGTGGATTACTCTGGAGTTACAATTGTTATTGAAATCAAGGGAAAAGCCAGAGGTCTAAGAAAAAGTTCAGGAAAATTTCGTCAGACAGTTTGCTTATATCTATTATGGTCTGTTTTGCTGCAGATTCATCCTTTTTTGCTACAATGAATAAGGTCTTTTGCTTTTAATTAGGTTTAAAGTGAAAAAAGAAAGATCTGTTTGTTTTTTGAAAGGTGGCGAAAAAAAGGTAGGGTTACTTCGTACAATGAAAAATTACCAAAGTCAGCAATTATCAATTATGAAAATAAGAATTGATTATTCACATTTTCATTTAAGATGACCGCTAATCAAAAGTTGGCTACAATCGTAACATCACTTGCGTACATGTACTTAATCCAATGAAAGTCCACACACTTTTTAACTTTGTTGATCTTCTCTACTGAATTACAATAGTTACACAGAAGACTGGGAAGTCTCAGTATTTATACAAACTTGACATCATGTGATATAAACAAATATGAATAACAGATTTCATACGATCAGACCTAAAATTCCGGAATCATTACTGTAGGACTATCATCCTTGACAAATGTTGAAGATGATCATTTCATCACTACCTCTAGTCCTGTGACATCTCCGTTGTGGGTTATCTCACACTTCAGTGTAGGCTCCAGTCCCCCTCCCTCGTCATATTCCACAGAGTTCTGTGTCTGCGGCCCCAAATACCACAGAGATATTTTGTTTTCCTAAAAACATGATAAAAACACAAAACATTACAACAAATAGTTCAAATACTTTTAATATTGTGTGAAAGCGATCTTATCATTACAGAACCTTCTTCATGTGTGTGGATTTAATGTACGGATTTAAGCCAGGTTTTCTTTTTGTATACATGTAATGTATAATGTATACAGTCAAACCAAAAATGATATTCATCTGATTTTTTAAATTTTATTGGTCTCCTCAGACCAGTTTTCGACAATTCTGCAAACTTTTTTTTTTAAACATATTAAGCATCTTAAACTCTTCTTCTTTTGTCAATGTTTCAACTCTGTGATAAATAAGTCATTGAAAATGCTTATGAAAATTAATTACCTGCTCTTCTGAGAAGCCAAAAAATATACTTATACAAATAATTAAAGAAATAAAATAAAAAATTGAACAATTTTACTTTCTTACCAATCAAAACCAACAAACAAATCAATATTGAACGAAATCTTTTCTGGTAATATGTCAATTTCTCACCCGGTGTTGTGACCTAGTTTCGATTTGGACATTTCATGTTTACAGTAAATTTTATCCTAAAAATTTTTTTACCTTGTCGTCCCAGCTACCTGTAACAAATGTGTCTGAACATTGTAACATCTGATTTTGACTCGGCTGCCATCTTATTTTGTTGATTTTTCTCGAAACAAACTTCACGAACGGTTGTATGGTCTCCGCCATTTTTGCTTCGTATGATTTGCACATGGCGGGACTAAAGGCGAAAGTAAATAAGAAACCCTTGACGCACGGCATATCGAAAGTCGAAAACCAAAAAGTAAAACTTAAAGTATTAAAAAATGCGCATATATTTTAATTTTAAAAATTATATATTTGTATCAGTTTTGGCCCAAAGTTGCTGTATACATTGTACACTAATTATATTTATAGGGTTTAACCTGACCAAGTAGAAAAATAGAACCATTATTTTACCGTCTCAAAATTTTATTTTATTGTATTTTATTTATTTTATTTTATTTTATTTTTTTAAAGACTTTTTATTTACATTTTCACATAATTTCCACAGCAACACTGTTAGGAAAAAAATTTGATTATTTTTAATGTAGAAATTTAGACCTCACTAAATATTAATTCATGATCGATCATGTTGCATTCCATTTAAAAAAAAAGTGCTGTAGATCTAAAACTAAATAAATGGAAACATACAGAGAGTTAAATAAGAATTCCCTTTTAGGTTTTTATACCATAGCATCCAATAAGAAAATTCACATTTCTTCCGTAAGATATGTTGTTATTGCACTTATTTATTTTTTTAAATACACATTTAAACTTACAATTGCATATATTTTTTTGAAAGTTTGCGTAATGAAAATAAATAAATAAAATTAAATGATTAAGTGTCCATACTTTATTTCCATGGTAACCAACGACTTCGTCAGGTTTCCCGAAAATAGGATGCAAAGGAAGTACTGTATCTCCACTCCGAACCAGGACATTTCAAGAAATGCAGGCCCGTAGCACCGGTTTCAAAAAAAAGGAGGGTTAAACTTTTCAAAAATAAATAAAATATACCTGTCCAAATCCTGGCTCTACTCAATAGCGACAAAAGTAGGGAGGAAGGGGGGCAACAAGCATCTAATGGAAAATTTACTGTAGCAAAATACTATATACTCAGGAAAAAAAGGGAGCTGGCCCCCGCGTTCTGTGTTATTGTTTCAAAATTCAAAAATTCAGATATTTTCGATTTTTTTTTATAAAGGGGCCCAAAATGTACATTAGTTATCTCTGCTAGGCCAGTAGAAAACGATCTCATGGGATTGAGGGATTTAACGGTGGGAATATTCGATTTAGGTCAAAGGCGGAGGCCCCCCATTTGATTTTTTTCAAAGGGGGCCCATAATATACATTAACTATCTCTGCTAGACCAGTAGAAAACTATCTTATGTGACTGATTGATTTTACGGTGGCGAATATTCAATACAAGTCAAAATTGGCTTTAGCCCCCCATCCCCCGTTTGATTTTTTTTTACCTTATTGGCTTTTGTAAATTTGTTTAACTTGTGTATACTCTCAATTTATTCCACAGGTAACATTTCATAAACAATTTATTTAAGATTTCAAATTATTGATTATTTCGATAAAATAAGAATTTCGCACTTCTAAAAGTTGTAATTTTTAAAAGTTAATATTTTAAATGCAACACTAATAATTTTATTAAAGGTAGGAAAAATGAAAGTTAATACTTAATTTTCCCATAATCACCACATGGGGGTGGGGGGTGGGGGGGTGTTATCATTATTTATAGATGTAATATATAATAATTGAATCGGGGATCGATAGAATTCTATTTTAAAAGCCATTAACATCTCTAACATTTGAAAAGTTTCAAGAAGCTAAAATTTTACACTATAGAATATTGAAAAAAGGAAATGTTTAAAATTCATTTTCAAAAGATCAGTCAACAGCTGCATACGGTGATTCATAAAAGAATTTATGTGTACAACAGGAAACAGGGTGAATTAAATGAAATAGTATAAGTGAAGATAACAAACAGTGATCGATCTGAAAAAAATATACAAATTTGTGAGCAAGATATATAAAACACGGCCTGTTGTAAATTCCAGAGGTGGGATCAGGTGCCAAGCAGGAGTAAGCATCCCCTGTTGACCGGTCGCACCCGCCTTGGGCCCAATGTGAGGAAGAAGAACATACAATATGTTTAAGACTTATTCTTTTTCGTCACTGGTCATCTATGAACGATGAATCACTACACAGTTACAACGACAAGAACAAGGAGTTTCGCTGAAAGAATTGTTTTTTACTTCAAGGTGTATAGATTAATAAAGGGAAGAGAAAATCTTAGGCAACTTCTCCGTTGCCTTTATATCCTTGTAGTTTAAGAATGCCTTTCTTATCAATTTTATTAGACCTTAGAATTGATCATCACATTTAAAAGCTATTCTGAACACTTCAACACAGAACATTTACACACTTTTATAAAATATTCTTAAAGATACATACATGTTAATGTGTGTGTGTGTGTGTGGGGGGGTGCATTCCCTTCTATGACTATACATACAATGTACATAGCAAGACAGTACCTTAAACACAGGAAATGAAATATAGACGTTTGCTTTTGCAAATTATAAAGCCTTTTGTTTTGTTGGATGTTTTATGAATCTGGGCTCAACAAACAAACAAACAAAAACAAAAAAAAAAAAAAAAAAAAAAAAAAAAAAAAAAATTAGAATTGACCCAGAATAAGTATTTGACGGATGACCCCGTAATATTACACATAAACATAGCAAAAGATTTTAGCGACAATTTCTAGAACATGCAAATAATTTAGGAATACACCAAAACCAATGATACCGCCATTACCGGATTTAATTCTATTTCCACAAATCTCAAATAAACAAATGACACATGAAGGCAATGCTAATTCCTCGTTAATTGTATCTTCATTAATTTACACAGTCTGTCATCAAAATTCATCACACACTTGGACGTCTGGAATAACCATGAGTAAAACAAACGTAAATAAATTTAATGTTATGATTATACCCGGATATTTATTACACGAGGAGATGATAAAAATAAACAAGAGGCCCATGGGCCACGCCAGAGTAACTAAAGCCCTGCTTTTATTCATCCGCAGATTTTTCTCTAGATATTCCTATATAAAACCTCGAAAGTCCGATGTGGCCCCACCTTGCTCCAAGGGTTATAATTTGAACAAACTTGAATCAACACTACCCGAGGAATCTTCCATATAAATATAACCAATCATAAATTGGCTTTTTATTAAAAGATTTGTCCTATATATTCCTATATGAAAACCTGATCGCCCATTGTAGCCTCAACCTACTTCCAGGGGTAATGATTTAAACAAACTAACTTGAATTTATACTTCTTGAGGATGACTCGTAATTATTTAAATGGACTTTGAATTTGAATACTGTTCGTTATCTCCATATTCTATACAAATATGACATCATGGCCTTGCTGTTTTTGAGTAGAATATTTTTAAAGATTTTTCAAATGTATTCCTATAGACATTTAAGTCTTAATCAAATGTCATTATTTATTCAGGTTGTCTTATTAGAAAAAAGGTTATTGCATCCAATGATTGCAAGAAACTTGTGTTTTATTAATGTAATAGAATTATGCCGATATTCATTTTTTACAACCACCTTAAATGTCTTTGATTTGGGTAATCGTAAGAATGAAAATCGTCAATCTGTGGTATTCCGATAACTCCTTCGTAAGCACTTGATTGGCTGGCACCACTCAGTCCATTAGAAGTCTCTTCATTTGCCTGATCCTCAGAACCAATTGGAATTGCTGATACATCTATACCAGGAACTGAGCCCGTGGTTTCTTGTGTGGTAGAACTTGAGAAGGTATTTGAAGGGGCTGAAAACAAAAACCTACAAAAATCCAAAGTATTAAAATCGCATTAAAAGAATGCATTTTTAAAATTTTTATTGAAAAAAAAATTTTTATTACATGTAAATACATTTATTGTTAACATGTTTAGACTAAAATACGTTCATTATTAACACTCTATTCAACATTTCCCACGATAACTCTAGTCCAATGCAACTCTGTCCAGGCCCCGTCTGATACATCTCTACTACTACTTATAATATTAAAATGTATTAGGCCCCTATATGTATACTGGACAAAAAAGTTAGGGATCATGATTTTGAATTGTTTTCCCAAAACAATTATAATAAATTTTTTACGTTATAGTTCAACCATACTTTCTTTAACATGTTATTGATAAGAAAATGCTACCTGTAGGGTCGTGCAATTCATGCCCAATTCATGCTTTACTGAATGCCGACACAGGGTGAAAAACAAAGTGATTCAGGGTATACACAAAGTTAACGAAATTGTTTATTTAAATACGTGTTCGAAGTTGTGGATATTTTTTGATGACCCTGTGACATTTCAAGCCATGAGACGTCACTTAACCGGCTTTGAGGCAGCCCAAGCTATAGATATGCTTCAATCTGGCAATACTCAGAAAACTGTTGCTGCACACTTTAATGTGTCCCAAAGTGTCATTTCACGATTATGGAATCGATTCCAACATACTGGTACCGTTGCTGAGAGACCACGTTCTGGTCGTCCGAGGTCAACCACGGCTCGTCAGGACCGTTATCTGGTCAATATGGCAAAGCGGCAGAGGTTCCAGAGTGCTGTTAGGCTAAATACAGACTTTCAAACAGCAACACGAGTGCGAGTAACACCACAGACAGTTCGAAACAGACTCCATGAGGCTAATATCCGAGCATTCCGACCAGCAGTCCGGCCCAAACTGACGCCAAGACACAGAACAGCCAGACTCCAATTGGCACGAAACCATGTCAATTGGCAACTGCGTCACTTCATGGACCCCTGTTCTTTTAATTAACAGATGGGTCGCGCTTTTGTGTAGATTTCCATGACGGTCGTAGACGAGTTTGGCGTATGACCGGTGAACGTTATGCAGATTGCTGTGTTGCTGAGCATGATCGTTTCGGGGGTGGTTCTGTGATCGTTTGGGGTGATATCAGTATAACCGGAAAGACTTACTTGCATGTTATCGCAGGAAATCTTCCAGGGATAAGATTACAAGATGAGATACTGCACCTAATTGTCAGGCTGTATGCAGGTGCTATCGGTGATGATTTTATTAGTCCCCTACCGGTGAAACCGGAGGGAACTATAGGTTTCCTCTGAGTCTGTCCGTCCGTCTGTCTGTCCGTCTGTCCCTCTGTCTGTCTGTCAGTCTGTCCCACTTGATTTTCCGCACTTTTTTTTTCTAAACGCTTGCAGATATTGAGGTGATTTTTGATATGTGATTGTATCTTGATTAGTTAAAGATCAAGTTTGCATTTCGTTCCGCTTCAATGATATTTGTCGGAATTACTACCTTTTCAATTTTTCAGGGTTTTCCGCATTTTTTTCTAAACGCTTGCAGATAATGAGCTGATTTTTGGCATGTGACTTTACCTTGATGAGTCATAGGTCAAGTTTGCATTTCGTTCCGCTTCATTGATTTTTGACGGAAGCATGACATTTTCAATTTTTAACGGGAACCAGATTACACTTGCCGGTAGGGGACTAGTATTGCTAATGCAATACTCTCAGAATGCTTGTTTTAATGGACGATAATGCTAGACCTCACAGGGCTCGCATCGTAACAGACTACCTGGAAAAAGAAACCATTGAGCGAATGGACTGGCCGAGTCTTTCGCCTGATTTGAATCCCATAGAACATGCTTGGGACAAGCTACAGCAAGCCATTTCAGTGCGCCCAGTACTCCCTAGGAACCGCAAGGAGCTTTCTGCAGCAATCGGCGAGGAATGGGCTAGATTGCCGCAGATCTTCTTCCGAGACTTATCCGCAGCATGCAGAGGCGTTGTCGCGCGGTTATTCAAGCACGGGGTGGTCATACAGCATATTGAACACATCAAATCACTGCGCAAACGGTTACATCTGAAATTTTCATCCTTTACCAAGGCTGTTTTTCATTCCGTTTTGGGGGTTGTGTGACAATTAATCTCAATGCACGTTAACGCTTCATTCATTTTTGATAACACAATAAAAATTGTTTGTTTACTTGTTAAAGATTTATATTATATAGTTGTAATGGAATATATTGTTATTTGTTGTAAATTAAATAATTTATAAATCATGATCCTTAACTTATTTTGTCCAGTGTACAATTAATCAATCCTACATTAAAATGTAATGCTGTTATTTTATTCACGTATTGAAGATAAGAAACAGAGATCAATGTTATAAACAATTGACATCTAAATATTTAGAATGCATCTTTACAACAAGTTCGTTATTTCAATGCTTATTTAATTTGTATGTAAGCAAATCTTACAGAATTAAAATCCTCAAACCCAGCTTGCTAATACTTCTTTCAACAAAATTCCACCTCAGACTGAGTCGATCGGTAAGTAGGGCTTGGACGATATATCTAGATATCGATTATATCGATTTTGTGTGAGGGCGATCCGCATATCGATACATATGAAGAAATATCGAAATATCGCAAAAATTCACATGTTTTCCTTTAATTACTTAACATTTTGGGTTTAATATTTGAAATAAATATGCTAAATATAAATATGAATATGAAATACATGATAATTAACACCACTTGTGTAAAATAATTTTCTTTGACAACAGATATACAACTTTTTTCAAAAATTATTCTTAGTTTTAAAGAAATGTTTTGTTCATTTCAATACAAAATAAAAAAAAAATAAAAGAATATAACCAATTCAACATATCGTGGCTCAAATATCGTGATATGTATAGATGCAGAAAAGGTTGTATCGTCCCGTAGATTTATTCATTACATTTAATCTTTTCATTAGTTAGATTTACTTTCTGTATGTATCTTTTAGCCATACCTTCCACATCTTCTTATAATGAATATTAAGCAGCAAATGACCAGCAACAATCCCAGGCAGATGCTTATCAATAATTCAAAGTTGATTTTGGAAGCCTTGATTAAACTTTTCACTGAAATAAAATGAATTCAAATTTACTCTAGAAGTATTCAATCTAAAATACTTACACCATGTACATGACTAGAAAAGTTGTTTAGAAATTTTACTCATCTCTCCTACTGTAGCTCATCCCTTTCTCAATTTCCAAATGAAGTTTAAATTACAGAAATATTTCTTTTTAGAATAACATTATTCAATATTGCGTTATTTCTCTTAATTATACAGTAAGACTGAACGAATGACGATAGAAAACTGTGATGTCCAAATAATAATTGTGTTCACTCACCGTCACATTTCTCTCCAGTCCATTCAGATTCACAACCCTGTGTGCAATTACCATCTTTTGAATCACAAATATTGTTAAAACAGTTACGGCTACAAATATTAGTGCAAAATTGCCCGTAAAATCCAGTGCGACAAGTGTTACATGTTTCACTCTGATTTCCATTACTTGGCGGTTGACAATTTGAATTACTCCTTTTTTCACATCTGAGGCCATAATATTGTGCCCTACAGCCGCTGACACAGGTTCCGTCTTGCTGGTGACACAAATCACCAATGCAGCCAGAACTACACTTTTCCCGACATAACATACCGTATCGTCCATTTTCACAACCATTTATACACTTGCCTTTGTCATCACAGGATAAATTGGAGCAAAATACAGAACACTGGTTTTCGCAATATTTCCCCCATCGTCCTCTTTGACAATACAAGCAAGATCCATTAGACTGTGAGCATGTGCTTCCATAACAAAGGTCAGGACATTTTCTCTCACAATAAACTCCCCATGCATTTGTCCTACATCCTTGGTTACATATGCCGGAAGTTTGATCACAAGATGTGCTGCAGAATTCAGGGCAGCTTTCTAGAAGTAAAAAATAGCTGTTTTTTGAACATTTCTCTCGCAATGAGACAAAAGAATTTTACCTGCTATAATTGATAAAAGCAAAATTTGTTTTATCTAAATAAAATTTTCGTATTACATTTATGTCATTGAATCACATTTTTTTTTCAATTCTAATTTATTTAAAACTTTCAATAATTCACATAAATAAAATAAAAAAAAAACATTCAAAATAAATGTTTTATTATTACTCACGCAATGATCTAATTCCACCTATAACCAACGTGAACATTAAAATTGAAACATGCATAAAGACAGTCATTTTCTCCGAAATATCTTGACAATCGAAACCTTACTGTTAAGAATTTAGGATACAGCTACAATAGTTTGGTATAAAAGAGGCAATGAATTAAACGGAAACTATACAGCGCAATGGTTTTTCAGATATGCTGCTTCCCCGTCAATTAAAGGCTATGAAAGTGTTCAGAAGTTTCAATGCACAGATTTGATAATGAACAATCCAAGACTAACCTTGTAATGATATTATTTGCAGAATTTGTTTTTAAAACATAAGGGAAGTACATTTATAATAATTATATTGTTATAAACTTAAAATAAAAGTTCCATGATCATGAAATATTCTACTATTATGTCTCAAGTAAAAGATGAAGTGATCTTCAATTTTGCATACAAAAAGATAAATAAATAAATAAACAAAGTTTCATCTGGCAATAAACAAAGCATGTCAATTGCAATTGCTTATATACTACATGTAGTATACACCACATATACCTTATTTCAAAATGTTCAACAGTTAGTGTAATAGCTTGAGGAGAAATTTGTGACGAAAACCTCTTGCGATTTGTTTTAGTGAACGGTACCGTGACAGCTCAAAGATACAGAAATGGAATTCTCTCCTGTACGCACCAATGGTCCTGGTTTAACATTACAGCAGGACAAGGCAACAGCAGACACTGTCCGAACAACTAGCGATATCCAGAATCAAAACATTGTTGATATTCCGGACTGTGTATTATTTCTTAATATTTCTAATGAATTGATTATTTAGTTACTTTATATAAAAATAAATATACATCATCAATTTTGAGGGGTTATTATTTTCAACACCGCATATTTTAATTTGTTCCTCAAAATCATGTACAAAGAAGTTACCTCCCTTACATCATACGCTCAGTACGTTGCTCACTGTTTTCTTGTCTTTGTCCGTTTGGGTTTGTAATTAAGACTCTGAACTTATGTTTTACGTGTATGCATGCATGGATAAAAACAGGAAAAACTAAAAATGAATATATATATAAAATGAGATCTGTAACAAATATGTAACATTTCTTAAACAGAAAAGCAAGACTTTGAAAATTGATGAAATGTAAGTGCATGATTTGGATGCTGTTTGAAGTTTTTCTTTCAAGCGCTAGTGATTTTGATAATGCCAAATATGTATAAAATAATATAATAATGTGTTACATACTGTTTGAATTATGTTAAATATTTTTGTCTTAATTAAATTTTAAGAACTTTATTTGAGAATTTGCACGATTAAAGGTGCTTAGACACAGATTTGAAGTTAACATTTTCTCAAATTTTCTGTATAATATCACGACTTATATATTGCAATAGCATTTCACACGAAAATATAATTAAAAACTTATTTTATCTAGAAATTATTGGAACTACGAATTCCTAGACGCGTTTGATTAGCACATCATTGCACTTTCACAAATTTTATCTTTATCCTTAATATTTAAGAAAAGAAGCGATTTTGTTGTGTATTAATGAAAAACATTACATCTATATTTCAGAAAATTCAGAGTAGAAATGTGCGAAAGCAAACCCTCTCACTAATATCGTCAGCCCGTGCTCAGTGTTGTGTACAGAGTTTAACAAATTGAATACACCCGTGAAACGTAAACTGTTTTTGTAAACAGGGCACGAGCTCTGTTATTGTTAATGTTTACGATTCACCGGGTGTGTTCAATTGTTAAAGTCTGCACACACCACTGAGCACGGACTGACAATACTGTGAGTGGGTTTTGCTTTCGAACATTTCTACTCTGAATTTTCTGGATTATAGTTCTAATATTTTTCATTAATACACAACAAAACTGCCACTTTTCTTAAGTATTAAGAATAAAATTAAAATTTGTGAAAGTGCAAGGATGTGTCAATCAAACGTGTCCAGAAATTTGAAGTTTCAATAACTTCGAGGTGAAATAAGATTTTTATTTTGTTTTAGTATGAAATGCTATAGCAACATATAAGTCATGAAATTATACAGAAAATTTGAGAAAATATGAACTTCAAATCTGTGTCCAAGCACCTTTAATGTATTTTCTACAAGGTATACAGATTCGCCTGCGTTGAACAGTGGTTAGAGCGTCTGCTCTGGAGCCGCGGAGTATGGAGCTGCGAGACGAGCAGACAGGTCCTTCGGATGATACCGTATAAACCAAAGTCCTGTATCGCAGTAGGTGTTGGCAAGAAAAAGATTCCTCACTGCTCAATGGCCCTGAGTGCCGACTATAGGTAACTGGTGGCGTCTCCATATACGTTAATAAATTCTCGAGATTTAGAGGGTACAAATGATATTTTACAAGCCCCTTTCTAAGACTTCAAAGAACCTTGAACCATATTAAGATGCAAAAAATAAAAATTGTTGCTTGAAAATTTTCAATTTCAAGCTTTATGTTGAGACTTTTTAAATTAAATAATAATTTTAAGAGTTATCATCCTTCCTGGCTGAGGATCGGATATCCGTAAAGTGTATCATATTAACATGTGAATTTTCATAACATTTTACTCAGATTTACCGGTATCAACATATCTTACTGAATCTTAGTAACAAAAATGTTGCCTTTATAAAAAGCATCATACAAGTGTGCATTTGATCAATTGATAGTTTTTAAATAAGGCACCTTCTCAAGTCGAATGTCTGATTTCACAATCTTCTTACAGGGGTGCGGTTAAGTTTCTTTCATATTACATATAAAGAGAAATTTTGTATTCTAGAACAAAATATCAAAGTTTCAAAAAAAAAATTAATTAGAGGAAAACTTGAGCCTATCTATTATGTACTACCTTAAAATATTAATAAAGAGTTTTTTATATTGTACTAAAGCCATTTCAATGTAAGAATGATCAGAGAGAGAGAGAGAGAGAGAGAGAGAGAGAGAGAGAGAGAGAGGGAAAGCGAGAGAGAGAAATCACCATATAACGGTGAAGGGCTTCAAATTTAGACCTTTACTCGGCACTTAGGGCCATTGAGCAGTGAGGGTTCTTTATCGTGCTAACGTCTACCGTGACACGGGGCCTCGGTTTTTAAGGTCTCATCCGAAGGAACTTTCACTTCAAAGTGCTGAGCGCTTGGCGAAGGAACAGTTGCTACCTAATTTTTATATACTTAGATCATTCGAGACCGTGATTCGAACACACGACCTTCCGATCACGGAGCGAGCGCTCTTCCGTCTGAGCTACCGTGACGGCTCATTAAAAAAGAATGTTGGTATTTTGAAAAAAAATGTTCTTTACATACATTGTTTCTTAATTACTACGAACCCTATACTGGTTATACCTACCGCACACTCTGTTTCCTCCTTCAACTTTTGAAACTTATAAAACTCAAATATGATACAGGTCTACGGATATTGAAGGTTTTTCTGCTAGTATCTCATCTCATTTTCTAATGCAATTTAATGATACAAAGTTTATCTCTAATTTCTTATATTCAGAACCCAAATCTGAACAACATTTAAGAGAAAGTTACCATTTCCTTTTCCAGTCATTAAACAAGGCATCGTATTACAACATGACCCCATTTTATACATTTTTCAAAGTCTTGCTCATTTATGAAACAGTTAATTCCGTAAGTTCTATGGTCGTTATAATGACCTTGTAAGCAGTATAACCTATCACTGCGTCGTATTTTGGCTGACTTGTTTCCTTTGTTAGACCTTTGTTTTTAATTGTTAGACCTTTGTTTTTATTCTAAATTCTACAGAATGTTCCGTCTACCTTGTCAATACATAGGGCTCACGGCGGGTGTGCCCGGTCAACGGGGGATGCTTACTCCTCCAAGGCACCCGATCCCACCTCTGGAATTTCCAGGGGTCCGTGTTTATGCCCTGTTCACAGATTTGTATTGTTCGAAGTTTTTATGAGATCGATCACTGTTCGTTATCTTCATCCTTTTTCATTCAATCAGAACGAAAATAATATTTTGATTCTTTAATTGTCAATACTGCATTCAAACATACATTTATATAAATGTACAGTACATCCATTCAATATATCTGATGATATATCTGATGAAAATTCATAAGGTGTATGTGTATCGTAGAGTACTTTGTATAAGTCTACTGTTACAAAGGATTTTATTAAAGGACATATTATTAAAGGACACCCACATATTGTTATCTTTTGTTAAAAGGCAACTTTATTATGCTAAAATAATGTAAATTTAAATTCAATTCTTAGTTTCAATATTATTTGAGTTTGACTGATGTTGTGAGGAAGAATAAATACATGATGAATTTAATATTTTTCTTTTTTGGAATGGAGTACCCATATTAAAGAGAGCATACAGGGTTGTTCCCCTTCAGTTAAATTCTAATGTGAAGCAGACTGTTAGCATTTAT